GTATGATAATAATAGAAAGCTCTATCTAATAACATACTTCTTAAAGAAACTATATAGACTAGAACTTAATTATTAGATCTATAATAAGAAGCTTATAGTAATTATTAAGTGTTTTAAAGAATAGAGATCATATCTAAGTAGTATATAACATCTTATTATAGTATTTACTGACTATAAGAATTTAATATACTTTATTATAATAAAAGAACTTAATAAAAGATAGATATAATAGACTGAATTCCTCTTAGAATTCAACTTTAAAATTATATACTATAAAGAATCTAAAAATAGTAGAGTAGATATACTTAGCTAAAGGCCAGACTATAAATAGAAGATATCTATAGAAATATAAGCCATTCTATAGATATAAACCAATAGAAGTATAGGAGGTATTTCTTAATAAATCATACTTATTAAACTCATTATACTACTAAATATAATAAGAGAATAAGAGATCTACTAATAGTATAATAATAATCCCTATATTAAGGAAAAACCACCTAAGAGATTACTAGTTAGATATAATAGACGACTTTATATACCTCTAGCACTAAGAGAAAAGTATATATAAGAAATATATAAGGCTAAGGCCTATAGATATAAAGAGATCACTAGAACTAAAGTAAAGGTCTAAGAAATATATAATTTCCCTAGACTAGACAGAATAGTTAGAAAGGTATAGAAGAACTACTATAAGTATAATAGCAATAAGATATCTAGATATCTATTATATAGAGAACTACAGCCTATCTCTATATTAGAATAGCCTTAGTATTTAATAGCTATAGACTTTATTATCAAACTACTAAAGTCTAAAGACCTAACTATTAAAATAGAGTATAATAGTATTTTAATAATACTAAAATAACTTATTAAGTATATATATTTCCTTCTATTTAATAAGTTATATATAGTAGAATAACTTATATTTATATTCCTATAAATAGTAGTAACTAACTATAGGATGTTATATAAGATTATTATAGATTAAGAACTAATATATATATTAAAATTCTATATATTCTTAATAGAATAACTTAAAGCTAATAAGAAACTGTCTATAGCCTACTACCTATAGACTAATAGATAGATAGAATAACTAAATTAAATATTAGAAGTATATCTATATAACTATATTAACTATAATTAAGATAATTAAATAGAGCTATTACTACTTATATAATTTGTATATAATAATATCTCTACTAAAATAATAAAGGTTTTATTATTCTTTACTAACTATAACTAAAACCTAAAAGCATACTAATAACTATAAGATAAAGTTAATATAGAATCTATTATTCTTAGAGTAGAATATCTTAAGAAGCTATATATATCCTTAAAAATAGAACTTAAGTTTATCTAAGAATAAGTCTACTATTACTATAATAGAAAAAGGATAAAGAGATCATCCTTCTTAGAGGAAGATATAGTCTATTTATTATAGAAAAACATTACTATAAAGTAACTTAATAATAAATTAGACTATAAGAAACTAGGACCCTTTAAAATTAAGTAAAAAATCTTAATATCTAACTATAGGCTATTATTACTAAAAATAATATAAATTTATCTAATTTTCTATATTTTCCTACTAGAACTAGCCTCTCTAGAAGTATAGCTATAAGAACTAATAGAAGTAGAAGGAGAAGAAGAGAAATATAAAGTTAAATAAATACTTAAGCAGAGAATATTAGATAGAAAGTATCTAGTTAAGTAGAAAGGTTATAATACTATAGAAAATATCTAGAAACCTATTAAGAATCTAATATATTATTAATAGAAGCTTTAATAATTCTATTAGTAAAGTTAAGACTAGTAAAAAACTAACTACTATTTAAGCTAAAGGCACTCTAGTTAATAGAGAAAGGATTAATCTCTAGGGAATAGACATCTTTAGTAATATACTTATCCTTCTTCTCTAGCTCCTCTAGAGATTATATTCTATAATAGAATAAGTCTATCCTATAATCTTTTAAAAACTACTTCTACCTATATAGATAGGATAGATAATTTAAAATTATCTATAGCTAGATCTATAATATAAATATTTCTACTTTAATATTTAATTTCTTCTTTAAAATCTTTTACTGCTTAGCTAGTATATAGAATACTAAAAGAAAGGTTAAATATAAGAATAAAAACTAGAAAATATAAGGATACTTATAAGAAGAAGCTATACTTATATTATTATAAGACTGATCTTAATAAATATAGTTGCTATATTAAGACTTATCTTCTACTATATAATATATTAGATTATTCTTAAAGTAATAAGAATACAGTATCACTTTAACTCTATAAGTATCTATATATATACTAAGTATGATTTATTTAGAAGTTTTTAGAGATTTCTATTTCTCTATATAATCTAAGGATATATTATCAGAAGGATATTAGAAGAATTAAGAGAAGAGTTTAATACCTATAGTAGAAGTTTTAATTCTAGATAGATAGGTCTTAAGAACAGCCTTAGATTATTAAGATATCAATCTAGAAGAGGGATATTATATTATAGAATTAACTACTATTACTATAGGGTATTACTCTAAGGGCGGTCAGTATGATAAGATAGATAGAAACATACAGACTGTTAGATTACCCTAGATTATAATGATCTATTATAAGGACTTACTATAGATTATAATAATCTATTATAATCTATTATCTATATATATAGATATATATCTACTCTTAGATACCTACTCTAGATAGCTCTCTAGTATTTAAAGTATCTTATTTAATAAAGTACCTTTAAGTAAAGCTATCTTAGCTATAATTAAGTCAACCACCCTTACTTAGTAGTGCCTATCACTTACTACTTATATAAACCTATATACCTCTAGTCCTATAAACTAGCCTTACCTCTTAGGATTAAGAATTATTATAGAGGCCTTCTTAACTAAAATTATCTAGATATAGGCACTTCTAATTTACCTAGCCTTACTAGATCTTTAATTAGCTAGTAATAGCTTTACTAACAACTTCTTAATTACTTTAATTAAGTTCTAGTATTACTTCTATAGCTAATCTATCTCTATAATCTTTTATAGCATTCTTTCTAGCTTTCTTTAGATAAAGGATGATATATAGGCTAGCTTCTTCTCTAGATAGAGGATCTAATACTAGTTCTTATTATACTTCATCCTATAAGAGTAGGTAGGTCTCTTATTATTAGAAGTCTTATCTTAAAGTATTAGTTACTCTATTAACCTTTAGACAGACTTTACTATTATATTAAATAATCTCTTAGCTAATCTCTTAATTATTATTATTATTATAAGTTATTATTAAAGCTAATAAGTAAGTATATAGCTATTTAGGATTAACTCTTCTTAATTAAGAGTATTTATATAGATCTAGATAAAGATATTACTAACTTTATTAATATTACTAATAATAATAAGAAAGTTCTCTATAGATTAATTATCTTAAATATTATTAATATTAATATTCTTAGTATATTATAAGACCTATTCCTATTATTTAATCTATATTAATAGACTAATAGATTTAGATAGTTATCTAGCTTATTAATATTAAGCTTAAGCTTATACTCTTACTTTAAAGCCTAATAACTTAAGATATTTCTTTAATATTATTAGTCTTATCTATATTAATCTAACTCTTAGTAGTTATCTAATTATTTCTATTCTATTAAAGATCTATATAATTATTTATTATTATTCTTCTAATAACTTATTAAATAAAACTATATACTACTTAATTATTTAATAAATAAGCTTATTTATCTTAATTAGCTTTTTATTCTTTTTCTTATATACTATATTTAAAACCTTCTATTTATCTAGTTCTATATTAAAGAAGTCCTTTCTTATTCTAAACTTTAAATATATTATTACTAGTTATTCTTCTTAGAATATTATTAAGAAAATAAAAGAAGGTCTTAAATAATCTCTAGAAGGCTTTAAAGTCTAATCTCTATCTAGATTAATATACTTCTAGATTTTATTATCTATAACTTTAAGATAGATATATAAATATTATATATTCTAATCTATTTTATTAATAAGAATTATTATTTAATTATTATTTAGATTCTCCTTAGCTATAATATTATAGTTAAATAATTAAGAGGGTTAATTAAGTAATACTCTAGCTTAAATAGGAGATTAATTAGATTATTATTATATTCTAAAGAGTTCTAGCTACTTCTTACTAAATTTAACTATAGAAATCTATAATTCTATAGTCTAAATCTTATAATAGTTACTTTAGATAGATAGACCTACTCTAATCTACTTAATTAGATATTAACCAAACTTATAACTATTAACTAAAGATTAGATCAATTAAATTCTATTTATTAAGATGTCTAATTCTAAGGGAGAAAAGGAGGAAGGCCGCTAGGGGGGCCGCCGGCCCTTAGGGGTGGCCCTAAAGGACGGTGTGGTTAGGCAGAGACAGCTCCACATACTAAATTTGCCCTGGGGTTGTCCTTAGTGGACCAGCCCCTTCTGACATTATCGCTTGGGCTGACTGCCCCGAGAGATAACACTTTCTCACCCCCTGAATCTCGGTAGATGAAAGATAGAGAAACGTGTAGAGTGCGTGTCGGTTACCTAAAGCCCTGATCTTATCGCTCTGAGCTGCCATTGTCACCTCGCGCTACGTCAGTGAACAACCGCGCCGTCTGTTACCGCTTGGGGACATCGTATGGCTGAACCGCAGAATTCCCCCATGTAAATGGTCTTCCAGGCTCTATCTCAGGGAGATCACCCCATTGATTTTCGCTGGCACGTGGAGACTCGAGTAGGCGAGATGGCCGTTCTATGACAGGTACGGTTTCCCTTTCAGCCATATGCTCGCGCTTCGGCGCCGAGACCCCACGGCTAGATCTCGGGGGTAGAAGGACTACACAAGTCATCAGCAGACCTAAAAGGCGACGATCGGCCTCTCATTGTGTCCCTCCAATGATGAGTGCATGAGGCCTACATAAAATTCCATCCTGCACTCGTATTTCATAATTCAGATTCAAGATGTCGTCACCCACCAACATCGAGAAGGACAAAGCTTCCGAGTCAGCCCATGCGGCACCTGAAGGTCTAAAGACAACTGATCATGAAACCGAGCCCGCTCCTGAGATCTTGGTGAGCAAAGATGGGTTCAAGCTCTTCCCTCAGCCGGTGCAAGGCGACAGCCTCGACCCGCTGAACTGGTCGAGGTTGCAGAAACACTCCATTCTTGCTATTGTCATGGCATTGTATGTCGCCGCTTTCAATCTTTAAATCACCACTTGATATGTAAATGCTGATGGACTTTCCTCCAGATACTTTCTCTTTACTTACATCACCACAACAACTGTGCCATCCTTTCCCACCCTACAAGATGAATTTGGCGCTTCATTGGAGCAGATCAACTGGACTGTCGCCATCCCGGCTTTGGGTCTCGCCGTCGGCCCTCTCATCTGGTCATCGCCGGCCGACATCATCGGCCGCCGGCCCATCTTTATCCTCGGCACTATTATGGCCTTGGCCGCCACTATCGGTGCCGCCTTGGCCCCCAATTACTCCGGGTACATGGCCGCTCGCTTCTTCCAGGGGCTCGGTGTCAGTCCTGCTGCGACTGTCGGCCTCGCCATCATCAACGACATCTTCTTCGAGCACGAGAGAGGGCAAAAGGTGGGCATGTGGGTGCTCGCCATTGATCTGGGCCTGCTGTGCGGTCCTCTGGTCGGCGGATTCGTGGACCTCGCCAGCTCGCAGTGGATCCAGTGGCTCACTGCCATTCTATTCGGCGTCGTCCTTGTTGCGGAGATCTTGTTTCTCCCCGAGACGCTTTATCCGCGAGATCTCATCCTGTCCAAGGCACGAGGCGCAGTCCTGACCCCCACTGATGAGAAGGCTGCTGCAGAGGCTGGCAGGATCAACGCTCAGGAGTCGTATCCACGGAGGACGAAGCAGCTGGCCTACATCAATGTTACCCCTCTCCCGGGGATGAAGCACCCGAAAGCTTGGGACACACTCACACGCTTTGTCAAGACGTTCAGGTTCGTCGTCGTTCCCATCTCGATCATGACGTATTGCTTTGCATGGTACTGGTGGGCGCTGTCCATTATCACGGTCATCCCCATCGCCTATGCGAATTACAGTCCGCAAACTCAGGGGTAAGAGTTCTACACATCTCTCCATATGATCGCCTGCTAATCGTCACTTGCAGCTTGTTCTTTATCGGACTGATCATCGGTACGCTGTTCTCCGAGATATTGTGCTCGGGCAGTCTTAGCGACCGCCTCGTTGTCAAGCTCGCAAGCAAAAACGGCGGTGTCAAGAACCCCGAGATGCGCATCTGGCTCGCCTATCCCGCTGCCATCATCAGTGCGATCGGCATGATCGTGTGGGGCATCAGCATCGACAAGAGCTACCATTGGATAGTGGGACAAGTTGCCTTTGCACTCTGTAAGTGCTTTCTCGGTTCCATCTCGGTCTCACATCCACTAACACAGGTCACCAACGTAGTCGGCGCAGGCATCCAGATGGGCAACACGGCAGTATGCTCGTACGTTATCGACGCCTACCCACTGCAGAGCATGTCCGTCATGGTCTTCTACGCCGTCATGCTGAACCTCTCTGCTTTCATCGACCCTTTCTTTATCGTGCCTTGGCTAGACACTGCCAATTTCACCTGGACATTTGCAGGGCACGCTATCATCACAGTGTTCTTCTGCATCCCGGTCTTTGGCCTTCTGCATCGATACGGTGACGTGCTGCGTCAAAGGTCTGGCCAGCCGACATGGGTCAACCCCGAGTTTGATCACGAGATTGTCACTTCCGAGCCATGATGGAGGTGGTCAATGTATTCCTAGATAATGACCGAGGCCGAACCTCTAATAGATATACCTGAATCCCTTCTTCTCATAGTCAGTCAAGTCACCGAGTTGAGTATCGAGAGTAACATCAACATCCGTGCCCTCGCGCTTGTCCCGGATCCTATTCTCGATGATGCATCCCACGGCGTAAGCGGCAAGACATGCAATGGCGACTATCTCGAAAGCCATGATTGCGTTGTAGCCAGTAGTGTAGTCCGGCGCTTCCTTGGCAATGAACACTTGGGGGCCGACGATGTTAGCGATGCAGTATGCAAGGAAGATGGTGGCGTTGATGGTGAGCTTCTTGGTGTGCCCGGAGACGTTGGCCATGGGCAGAGATAGGGCTGTGGCATAGGGACCCCAGAAGAAGTAGAAAAAGTAGTAGGCCAGCAGGCGCCCCACTTTGTTCTCGTGAGAGAGTTCTAAAGGTTATTAGTTCCACAGCTCTGGGCATGGTGAGATACATTCAGGGACTTACGCTTGATCAATATGGAGCATGCCAAGGGAACCAGGCAGCACAGCCCAGCTGACAGGCAACGCTTGTTTTTGAGCCAGTGTTGAGGGATGGCTACCATGAACCCAGCGAGACTCTGCATCATACCCGTTGGCATGCCCAATAGGGTTGTCTCGAGCTTGCCGTAGCCTAGTCCGGAGACGATCTGTGCGGCAAAGGTGACAAGACCACCGGTGGGGACGTTCATGCTGAGGAAGAAGACGAAGAGTAGGTAGGTCTTGTAATCGGTGAAGGCTTCGCGGACTTGGTACCACTTGAGCTCCTTGTTTTCAATACCAGTCATGTTCTCTCGCACCCGGTCCAGAGCAATGTACTTGTCCTTGCCCTTGAGAAAGTTCTCCTTGAGTGGAGAGTCGGGCAACCACAGGATAAGGATGGCACCCCAGAGGATGGTGAAACCTCCAATGACCAGGAAAAGAAGACGCCACGAAGCAATAGCTGTATGTGCGTGACCAATACCATATGACACGACGCCAGTAACGAGCTGAAAGTCCGATTAGCATCTCAATACAACCAGTGAACATGTGGGCCACTAACACTGGAGAAAGCAGTAAAGGTCAAGGCCATCCTGACAGGTTGTTCCTTCTTCTTGTACCACATAGTATTGAGGATCGTCACGGCGGGGAAGAGCGGTGCCTCGAGCGCACCCATGATGAAGCGAAGTGCCATTAAGCCAGCAGCGTTCTGGGTGGCACCGAGACACATGACGATGACGCCCCAGAGCGTGACTGCAACACCGACCGTCTTGCCCACGGGAAGCTTTTGGAGGATCGCATTGGCAGGGTATTCAGCCACGAGCCAGCCGAAGTAGAAGATGCTCCCAACTGTAGAGGAAGAAATGTCAGTTGCTTGGACATGATAATGAAAGAGGTCGACAATTACCCCAGCTGTACTGTTGGCCAACGAGGTGTGTATCCTCGTTCATGCCGTAGAGGGCAGCATTGGAAATGAGAATTTTCTGCAACTTATCAGCATGCCGCGTCTTTCCTACCAGGGCTAGCTAGAGAGAAGCAACTCACGTCGACGGCAGCGATGGTGATCGTTCCCACAATCAAGGGCATCAGCCGCCAGTCAATCTTGCGAAGGACGCGCTTAGCTTCGTGAGGCTCATAATTCCCCCATTGAGCGGCATGATCGTAGAGATAGGCCGCAGACTCCTCATGAACGACGGGCGGCTTGCTCTCGTGCACCAAGCCGATGTCTCGTTCGGACGGCTGAGGCTCAATGTTGAGGTCGCTCTTGTCTTGAGCCATGATCTACTGTGTCTTGCGATGCTCTACTTAACAAAGCTCGCGTAGGTAGAGAAATGAAAAACTGGAACAAAAGGGGATGATTGGGGTAGGTTAAGCCTGCAGTGCTGATCCCAGACGCCCAGTGCCACCTAGGCGAATATATACGGAGAAATGGATGGCATGGATGGCTGGGCCCATATGCCTCAATGCTGGACACTGGCGGGTTGACAAGATCCCAGGTCCTTTGGTGGCAAGCTACATCTACCCCAATTCGTGTGCCTGCCCGTAACCTTATCCGAGCTAAATCCCCACGGCATTACACAAAGAAACAAATCGTATGGTTTCCCCGCGCCGAGCCATCATGATGGTTCAAACATGGCTTGGTCTGGCTACGGACATTTGTGCGAGACCTTAGCGTGACAGAGAGTCCGACGCGGACATGGCTGCGATGACGATGTGGGGTTCGCTCATCCACCTCCTCAGTAAACCTCAGTTCCAGACGGCTTCATGTTGATCACTTCTCCGAGACTCGGGGCAAGCTGTTGGAGATAAAGCTGCACATATCGTACGGCTTATCGTTCAGAGTGATCATTCGATATTCTCAAGCTTCATCTACAGACTAGCCTAACGATAACGCCACTGCCTCCAAGTCACCCACATCACTTTATCAATATGGCCATTTTGGACTACGAGTACGACGCCAAGGCAATCTCGCCCGAGATCAAGCGTGGCATTGACTTCCTCTACGAGGCCTCTGACAGGCCCGAGGCCGTCGCTGCGTGGGCTGGCTGCTTCAGCAAGAACGCCAGGCTTCTGAAGGGCGAGCAGGATGTCGTTGGTGTGCCAGGTATGCAATGGCATACTGAGTCATAGGCCTAAGGGTGTCCAGCTAACATATACCTGAAGCCCTCGAGCAATACCTCTCCGACACCTGGAAGGACACCAACTCCCGGGTTCACGACGTCAAGAAGGTCACCGTGCTCAAGTCGTCGCCTCTGACCCTGCAGATCGAGGGAGTCACCACTTACCAGCGCAAGTCTGGCAAGGAGCAGCAGGGTACGTGGACGGCAGAGCAGAGCTACGTCGAGGAGAACGGCATGCAAAAGATCTCGAGTTACAAGATCAACTTTGTAAGTCCTGGACTGCTCCTTCGGGATTGACATTGTACTAACCGTATCAAGAACATGGTGTATTAAGCTGATGGACACGCGAAGACTGCATTCCATGGTATTGTAGATAGAACATAGCTGAGAACACAGAATTTGACTGCTCTACACGGAGAAATTGAACAGATCAAAACCACCAAAGGACATGTTCGGCGCAAAGTCAAAGCTGTCATAGTTGAGCTCCTCGGGACGCGGTTTGTAGATCATTTCTTCGATCAGCATCACCACAGCTTGATGAACATGCAGCATCTTGAGATCAATAACGTGTGTCCGAACTTGGTTCTTGCGCTCTTCATCCATAGAATATGACGCTGCGCAGAGTGACTGCGATGAGGGGGACTCGAGCATCCCTGGCCCAACCCCCTGGTTGATACCGGCGCCGTCGAATGTCGAATTTGCCAAGAGATTGTATGTCTGCAAGAAGACTAGTGCCCGTGGCCAACGAGCTGCAAAACCAGCTAACGTCTTACGACAGCTCTCCAAGCCGGCAAGAGTGAGGTCAAGAGTGAAAGCGGGAGTCCGCAAATTTGGTGGTGTCATGGCGTAGCAGTATAGAAGCATTATTCCAAGGCGGAACTGGTACATGAGCTGAGTTTTGAAGAAGTTAGGAGCTGTATCTTTGTGGTCAAAGAGTTCGACTTACCGCGGACCATGTCCAGTATATCACAGAGTCTCCTTCTTGTGATGTGTGAAAGGTGCGGCAAGCTTCGCTGCAAGCCTGCACCAGCTGGCCAACATCTTCCACACTTTGCATGCAAGGCCGCTCTTGCATGAGGATTGAGAGGCTGTAGTCGTAGAGCTTTGAAAGGGATCCGGGCTGGTGGTAAATTGACCCATCTCTCGGACTGGAATGGACAACCTCTTGGATGCCTTCCTTCCAGACTCGTAATTCTTCCTTCAGTCGTACGCGGTACTGTTCTCGGAACTGGTCTGAAGCATCCAGCTTCTGAACCTTTTTACTAACATGCCTAATCTTGGACTGTATACACCTGAGTTGGAAGAGATGTTCATAGAATCCCGACTCGTCTCGTCTGAATGTCATTCTTGAGACATAGTTGTATATCTGTACACCCTAATTAGCAAAGCCATACGAGTGCCAAAGACAGCCGTGAATAATACCGTGTCGTCGAGAAACTCAAACATAAAAGGCTGTGGATATGTCCACGCTGACGCCACCACTTCGTTGAGAATGTGCGCGCTCATAATGGCGTGGCGCCGAACGTATTCGTATGTCTCGCCAAGACTATCGGCCACAGGGTCTCGACATTCTGGGCTCATCAAGTTGGCGCAATTCATCAGCGTCAATATGATGCTGCCGGGAATAGAGTCTGGTGAGGGACCATGGAACGAATAGAGCAACATGAGCATCGATGCCTGTGTCCGGATAAGACTGGAGGGGTGCTGCGTGGCCTGATTAAGATTGGCACATATCGCTCCGTCATGGAGCCTCGTAGCATGAGACAAATGTGGACAGTCGGGGCGAAAGGAGCTGCTCATCAGAGCACCTATCGCGAGTACCAGCTGCAGGATGAATTTCTGTGCTCCTTCAGGGCCAGACGGGTCACTCTTCAAGACGGAGTATGTCAGTCTCCAAGCGTTCTCGTCCAGGAATGACCACTGTGGTTGCACATGCTCAAAGTAGATATCAGCATAGTGATCCAGCCAATCTTCTCCAATGGAAAGCATCGCATTTTGAGCCGCTACGGTGCTCTGTCCAAGCCAAGATGGTGTGGATTGTTGCAGGCCAGGAAAGAGTTCCGATCTAGATTGCGAGAGGCCAGCCGGCACTGAATAACGCTGTTCCCGTCGTGCTGTACTCGGAGGCTGGGTATGGATATTGCTATTGCCGCCGAAGCTCGGATTGAAACTCTGGACTTGATACTGCGGACCCGATGCGCCAAGATACGAGGCATCTCCAGGAACAGTGTCAGATCCTGGCATGGACTGAGCTTGTGGGGCTTCAGAACTGTGGTCGAATGAGGACGAGTAGACGCTCTGGTCCTGCAGCGTGGTAGACCCATCCTCCACGAGCTCCGGGAGACCATCCCTGGGGCCATCGACCGAGACTTGGGCGGCCGTGCCTTGCATCTCGGCGAGCTGATCCTCCAGCTGCTGGAGATAGGCGATCGGGACCGTGGCAACCGAGCCCGCCTTCTTGACCCCGTACTGCACGCATTCTGCGTTGGTCCGCCGGCACTCACCGCACGTGGGGAGTACATGGTCGCATCGCTTCTTCCGAGTCCGACAGCGGACACACGCGATTCTGCGCGGAGCCTTCTTGCCGCCCACAGTAGAGCTCATGGATCGACGCTCCATCGAGTCCGTTTTGGTATCTGCCTCAGAATGAGTGGCGGTTGCCTTTCCAGGATATTCTTCTTATTGTCCGTCGAAGGGGGGCAGATCAAGTAGCTGGCATAATCTGGGGAGTCTTGTCGGACAGGAGGGGCGAGGTCGGACGAGGTTCCATCTCCATGGACGCGGGTGTGGGACATGACGATAAGCTGTGGGGTTTTAGCGCATTCCATGGCGTCGGTGCCCCGTTGTGCATGCTGAAAGACCCTGCTAGTACGTCATCTTTAACTACCTAGGTACCTAATGTTGCGAAGCTCACACGACCTTGATTCCAATACATCGTTCTGATGCTCTGATGCTGATGTGACAAAAACAGACTTTAGTAGGAACCTGTTCGTGGATTTGAGGTGAACTCCACTGTCAAGTAAACCATCTTACAAGTTAAGTAGTCCTATCGCCCAGACTCGACAAGCAAAGTACTAGGGTTCCAAGTATCTTTACTTCAACCACCTCCGCAAGAAGGAATGTCTCCCAACCCGGAAACCGCCCGCTCGAGGATGCATACTCTGCCTTGGAACTTGCAGGCGGGCAGAAGAGATCTCCTATCTCGGACGAGAAGCATTGCGCTCGCTTACCCCGACCGGACCCCACGACAAGGTCTTAGCGTAGAGAGCAAAAGCGGACTTTTGTCCGAATACACATCTGGGAATCAGAGCTCCACTAACCCGTATGAGCGTGTCGATATCACAATGCCTGAAGTGCGGAGATATGTGATGAGGGGACTCGAAAAGATATCATCTGGTTGTCTTTGGCTATTCCATATCTTGATCTTCAATTACCAGAGTGCTCTTGGAAAGATCCGCGCGAACATGGGTTCGATAACGGAAGAGAAACACATTAACTTGCAGCTTGGGTAAGGCAGCGCCATCCTCTTTCCCATGAAGAGACACTGACATTTATTTGTCTTGCAGATGGCCTTCGCCTGCCCTGTTTCCCAGCGAGGCACTGATCACGGCTTCCCAGGCTGTGCTTGGAGATCCAAAGATCGCGGCGCAGGCCCTTGTCTACGGCCCTGACCCTGGACACGAGGCTCTACGAAGCGCAATCGCGTCATGGCTCTTCGGCTTTTACCACCCTGAAGCTGGACCTATAGATCCTAGTCGCATCTTTGTCACCAACGGTGCTTCCGGAGCACTGAGCATGCTTTTGACGAGATTCACCGACCCCGAATACACGAAGCGGATATGGGCGATTGAGCCGACGTACTTCCTCGCCGCTCAGGCCTTTCAGGATGCTGGCTTTGACGGTCGAATGCGAGGCGTGCCGGAAGATGACGAGGGCATTGACATCGACTTCCTTCGTCAAGGCCTGCTAGAGTCAGAGAAAGAGCCGGCAAAGGAAGCCACTTTCAAAGGGGCAGCGGCTTGCCCAAAGATCTACAAGCACATCATCTATGCCATCCCAACTTTTAGCAACCCCAGCGCCAAGACTATGTCACTACGGCGTCGTGAGCAACTTGTCCAGCTCGCTCGGGAGTTTGACGCCCTGGTTATCACCGACGATGTTTACGATTGGCTGAGATGGCCCGCCAGTGAGACTGGGCAGACACAGTTGTCGCAGCCTCCTCCGAGGCTGGTTGATGTTGACCGAAAACTCCCCGGGACGACTACCTTTGGCAACGCCGTGAGTAATGGCTCATTCTCGAAAATTGTCGGGCCCGGCGTCCGAGTCGGATGGGTCGAAGGCTCGCCTGACGTAGTCAAGGAGCTCTGCAAGTATGGTCCGGTCCGATCGGGAGGCTGCCAGGGCCACCTCTCCTCAATGTTCATAAGCCATCTTGTTAGCTCTGGCGCATTGGAGAAGCACATCCAAGAAACTCTAATCCCGACTTATCAACAGCGATACTACGCAATGATGGAATCACTCAAAACCCATCTTTTGCCCCTGGGTTTTACAATATCGCCAACAGGCGACTATGAAGGTTCGAGAGGCCCGGTTGAGGCTGGAGGGTTCTTCACATACATCAATGTACCAACCAACACACTTCGCACCTCGGAGCTGGTAGAGCATGCTCTGGACCGGTTCAACCTTCGCGTCGCGCACGGAGGAATGATGCTGGTCGCTGGTGACCCAGACTGCGCTAGCAGGGCAAGTCAAGGATTCGGACAAGCACTGAGGCTTTGCTGGGCTTGGCACGAGAAGGAGGATATCGATGAGGGAATTCGAAGATTAGCGGCAGCCTTTCAGAGCATACAAGCTAGGTAGCGAGATAATAGACTGTCGTAAACCCCTAGAGGTCATGCACATACCAAAACTACATTGACCGGGAATTTCTTCTCGTCAGCTGGGAGGATTAGTTAGCTAAAGCAAAAGCTAGTGGTTTAGTGTGAATACAAACAAGTCTTCCCCCGCACCCTGGAGCGGGCTCTTGTCCGTCATGCTCCACTCACATTGGTTATCGAGTCGGACTCCCGCCGATGCCTCACGGGAACCTTTAACCTCCTTCCATGATAGCCAAGAGCTGGGGTATCGGGGGCCTGGGGTATCGGCCGCGTTGGGAAAGGAGCGACAAGACACGCGTGAGATCTGGGCTGGAAAGGTCGACTTGTAAAGGGCAGCACGGAAAGATCAAAAGGCCATGCCCCAAGCTCGGTCGAGCGTGGCCAGCTTTTCACCTTGCGACTTTGACCCACGACCTTGACAATGGCTTCACCCACCGATACCAAACCAATGCCAGATGCTATGAGGACCCCTTCCATGGCCCAGGATGGCGAGTCCAAGATCGTCGGCCACACTATCGGTGGCGACATCGCAGCCGGCCTTGCGGAGCGTTTTGCCAACGAGCCTCCCTATGGCCGCAAGGAAGAGGTCAGACTCCGCTGGAAGATTGACCTGAGGCTTGTGCCTCTCCTATGGCTGAATATAACACTGCCGGCTATGGACAAGATCACCCCATCAACTGGAGCCCTGTATGGTTTGCGGCAGGACCTTAACCTAAAGGGAGACCAGTATGCTTGGGTCGGCTCAGCCTTCTACGTAAGTGGACACTATCGCGATAGTTTCTCAACTCGATGACTAACAGTTCAACTAGTTTGGCTACCTTCTCTGGTGCTTCCCGTCGTCCCAGATCCTACAGCGGCTTCCTATCGCAAAGTCCATGTTTGCTGTCATCGTCATCTGGGGATTCGTTCTCATTGGCGCAGGCTTCACCCACAGCTTTGCTGCCATGGTAGCGACTCGCGTTCTACTCGGAGCTCTCGAGGCTCCCGTCGCGCCCGGAAACTTCATCATCATGACCATGTGGTATACTCGGGCGGAACAGCCCGTCCGGGCAGGTCTCTTCTACACGGGCAAGTGGTTCGCCAGAAAGTTGCAAGCTTGGACCTTCCACTGATGACTCGAGCCTAGGCCTTGCCACCATTATCACCGGCGTGTTGGGTTGGTCCGTTGGTTTTATCGGAGACGGCCATGCTTGGCGGGCCTTCTTCTGGATCACGGGCGCCATCTCGGTCCTGTACGGAGTCGTCGTCGGGATCTTTATGCCCGACAACCCTGTCAAAGCCAAGTTCATCACGGACAGAGAGCGCTTCGTTGCCATTGAGCGCATGCGGGCTGACCAGCTGGGAATTGAGAACAAGAACTTTGTCAGATCTCAGCTCTGGGAAGTGTTCAAGGACCCAAAGACCTATCTCATGTTCTTCTTCAACATCTTCGTCTCGATCCCGAACGGTGGTCTGACCAACTTCTCGCCACTCATCATCAATGGTCTTGGCTACTCGCCACAGAGGTCCACGTTGCTCATGATGCCGACCGGAGTCATCCAGACTCTCAGCAGTTACATCTGCAACTTTGGCGTTTACTTCTGTGTCCGTCGGTGCCCATCACTTCAACTTCGAGGGGCCTTCGTGATTGGTGGCCTGATCATTGGTATGATCGCCACTGTTCTTCTGTACACTCTGCCTGTCGATGACTATACCGGCAGGCTCTGGGCCCTCTACTGGTCGTACTTCTACCTCGGTCCATATATCGGTGAGTTGTATCTGCTATCATTTTCACATAGTCTTCCTAGGCTTACATTCCCGAAAGTTGCACTTGGTATCAATAGTGCGAACACTGCCGGCCATACCAAAAAGGTCACCACCAATGCCATCGTATTTGCTGCTTACTGTGTCAGCAACATCATCGGCCCCCAATTCTTCAAGGCCGCCCAAGCGCCACTGTATCCTCTTGGCATGGGAGCGATGCTTGTTTCATACGCACTGAGCATCTTCACGATGATTCTGTATATGCTGTATTGCTGGAACGAGAACAGGCGGCGCAACAAGAGGGACGACACCGCCGGGCAGAGAGAGCATCTGGACACGGACTTTCGGGATCTGACTGACAAGGAGAACATTCACTTCAGATACGTCTGGTAATTGCTCTGTCGTCGCGTCATAAGCAATAGCAAACCCAAAGCTTTGAAGGGGAAAGGATGGCCCAGCCTCTCCATGAGAGCTTGCATAGGGAATGCGATTAGATGTAGATAACGTTATGGAGTTGTGAGATATCTAAAGCCCAGACGGAGCTTGATTTAGCGCCGAAATAAGTGACGCTGTTGGCATTCTCGTTGCACTTCGAGGACTTTTGTGCTAGATTCGGAGTTCCCGCAGCACAGCGGCCCTAGTAGCCCAGCTATCGAGCGAATTACTTCAGTTTCCGCGACCGAGTGGGTGGATGCTGCACCAACGACACTGACCCACCGCACAATCCACTCTCTCCGATCCTGGGCTCCCTTTCTTGGACGGGCGATGGTCATCACCCTCCGATACCCGGTGTTCTCGATTTCGTGAGACTCGGTGCATGTCGAGCGTGGCATTGAATCACATATCCATTGAATCAAATACACCGGGCTCCATGGACTACTCGCTAGAACACCACCGAGACTACATCGGCCAGCCGGCGTCGAGTCTGCCGACGCCCTCGCTGGTCGTGAGCTTACCTATCCTGAAGGATAATATTAAGCGGTTGCACGACGATGTCGAGGCTATGGGCATTGGTTTCCGTGCGCATGTCAAAACACTCAAGGTGGGTCGGGCCCTCGGTTCCCTTGATCGAAGGAAAGCCCCCGCGAGTTGACAACTGCTGTGTGTCTAGACTTTGGAGGTGTCGAGGTTGATGCTGGGGAACGGCAAGTACAGGAAAGCAATCACGTCTACCGTCGCAGAGATCCGGGGCCTTCTACCGCTCGCAAAGGAAGGCTTGCTGGACGAAGTCCTGTATGGCCTGCCCGTCAACAGCGGTGCCTTACCGGAGCTTATCAGGCTCTCGAAGTTTGTCAAGATACAGCTCTTGATCGATCACGAAAAGCAGCTTGAGCTGCTCTCGAAAGCCATCAGGGAAGCCGACGCACAACGCTCGTGGGAAGTCTTCATCAAGCTTGACGTCGGGTCGAAGCGTGCCGGCGTCCCCATCGGGAGCGATCGCCTAAAGAAGCTTGTACGCCAGACGGACGAAAGCCCTGCCGTTGAGCTTATCGGCTTCTACTGCCATGCGGGCCACTCCTACGCAGGGCGCAGCGAGGAAGAAGCGATCAAGACTCTGCATGTCGAGGTGTCGGGTGTTTGCGAGGCCCGGCGTCACTCTTCCAGCAACGCGCCCCTCATCGTGTCTGTGGGAGCAACTCCGACCGCGCACGCCATCCGCCAGCTCCGCGCGGAACTGCCCGGCGACGTCAAATTGGAATTGCATGCTGGTGAGTGAAGTCCAAGTCTACCGGGCACTCCCTACGGAAAGAGTGGTTTGCAGAATTGACCTCCGTCTAGGGAACTTCCCCGTGAACGACCAGCAACAAGTCTCGACCAAAATGGCAACCCTGGAGCAGCAGGCCGCCCGCGTCTGCGCCGAGGTCGTCAGCACGTATCCCGAGAGGAACGAAGCCCTGGTCAACGCGGGAACCATCGCGCTGACGAAAGAGGCGAGCGCGTTTGCCGGCTTTGGCGACGTGGTCGGCAAGCCTGGCTGGTTCGTTGCGCGGATAACGCAGGAGCACGGCATCGTGACCTACGCCGGGGACGCGCCGAAACCGGTCGAGGAGGTCTTCACGGTTGGAGACAAGGTCTTCTTGCACTGTCAGCATGTCTGCATTACGGCTGCTGCGTTCTACGTGTACTATGTGGTCGATGAGAACGATATAGTTGTAGATACATGGGTCCCGTGGAAGGGATGGTAGACGGCAATAGATGATGATAGATGATAGCACCTTTCAGAGTTTGCCACTGGTCTTCTCCTTAGTCATTGCGCGGGGACCTAACCGCGCCTTTGAAAGCCGGCGGTCCGCGAGCGGAGAAGCGCCCTATCCAGCTGTCGAATCTTGCCCACTTCTGGCGGGGTACTTATTTCCCAGCATACGTAGCATTTATCTTACCCTTTCCGGCGCGCCAGTCATCATTTCGGGAAACATTTTAATCGCTAGCATCTGTTAACGGACTTGAAGGGCTGCAGGAGCAGTGCACTGTTGCAACTATGGCCATGATGAACGCTCCGAGGGCGTACCGGATCGCCATCCTCGAGTGCGACACGCCGGTCCCGGCGGTCGTCGCTCGCCAGGGCACATACGGGGACATATTCAAGAAGTTCCTCGATCGGGGTGTTGCAGCAGGAGGTGCGGCTAGCGTCGAATCGCATATCGTCACTTGCAACGTCGTGCTCGGAGAAGAGTATCCAAACCTGGACGGACTGGATGCTCTGCTCTTGACTGGAAGCAGTAGGTTTGATTCTTCCTCACCGCAAAAAGCATGTGCCCAGTAGCTTTCTTAACTAACATCTCACAGAACATGACTCTTTCGCGGATGAGCCTTGGATCCTCGGCCTGCTCGACTACGTCCGCAGCGCCCATCAGAAGGGCAAGCGCATGGTGGGCATCTGCTTCGGCCACCAGATCATCTGCCGCGCCCTGGGCGGCAAGGTCCAGCGTAGCCCGGGCGGCTGGGAGGTCTCCGTGTGCAAGTTCGACCTGACCGACGTCGGCCAAAAGCTGCTGGGCAAGAAGGAGATGTCTCTTCACCAGATGCACCGCGACGCAGTCCTGGAGCTGCCCCCTAACTTCCAGAATCTCGGCTCCAGCGACCGGTGCGCGATCCAGGGGTCTTATCTGCCGGACCAGATCCTGACTGTTCAGGCGCATCCCGAGTTCAGCGACTTCATCATGTCAGAGATTCTGTCAATGCGGCACGCGCAGGGCATCTTTTCAGACGACCTATACAAGGACGCCTCGGAGAGATCAACCCTGCCCCATGACGGTGATTTCTTCTCTGCTTCTGTGTGGAAATTCCTACTAGAGCCATCGCCGTGATGTACTTAGATTGTCAGGTTATGCGAGATATTAGACCTAGAGTAGTAGTGACCCTGTCCAGATATTATCATGCGAACGAGATCCATATCTGATTTTCGTGCATGACGCGACAAATGCTCCATGGACCGGCCTCAGGGCCATCGCCAGTAACAGAAGTCGCCCACATACGCTCCAGCAAGTTGGAAGTCTGCCGGATGTTCCCCAGCCCGATGGAAGTGAACATCTGCTCTAGACGGCCTGTCAGGAATGCTTTTTGCCCTGCATCGGTCAGGCATGAGCCAACAACAGCGATGGGCCAGCACAAGCTGGTGTTTATCCTCGAGGTAGAGTCCAGCTGTGCAAGAACGGACAAAGCTTCTGTTATGGCCGATTGTATGCTTGCTGACTGCTGTCCGTCTTGTTGTTTAGAGAATGCACCGAGTGCTGTGTGCAGATACAGCAGTATGGCTTGCTGGAATGCTCGGCCAGCTAGGAACACCTCTTGGTCGAGTGGCAGGCCAGGAGTCCAATTGAGAATACTGCTATGAAGCTGAGCAAACGTGACGAAATGGTCTGCCGTAGGAGTGGTCGGCTGCTGGTCGTCGACAGGCGTCAGCTGGCGGCAAAGGTCAAATATGGATGGTATCAAGAGGATCAGCTCCAGCCAGCAGCCGCACATATTGCCGATGTAGCCCGTCGCCACCAGCTCATTGGCCAGGTCACGGAGCTCGTCGGTCAGAAAGAGCTGCGGGCTGACGCTAGGGTCAATGGAAATCATGCTCAGCGTGGCTGTGTACACATAGTACTCAGTCAAGAAATTCCTCAGCCGGAGAGGCAATGAGCTGGTTGCTGTTAGACACGGTCGCAAAAGTGATTGGGCTGCCATGAGGTGATCGAAGACTGTCCCGTTGACATCTCCTTTCGCTGTCTGTCATTGGACTTCATCAGCTATTTTGGTTCTCACTGTGAAGAGTGAGATGAGACCTTTACCTCTACGAAACACATGATCAGTGCTGCGACTCCTAACACCAATGTCTCCTCGAAGGTTTGACCTCCAATGTATTTGGTGATATTCTGTTGGAACAACTGAAGAGAGTTGGAATAGTATTGACCAGCCAGTTGATCAGTACTGTTTGTAGACCGGGTTGCTCTATGGACGGCACTTTGCGTCAGGATGAGCTGCAGGATGAGATCGTGGCCAAAGGCTAATGGCACCAATTGAACAAGGAATGGGTTCTCCTCCGTGGAGCCGTTCGCCATGCTCATGGTCGTCACAGCCATGTAATGGCTGAGCAGTTCGAACGAGTCACTTCCGTGACTTCCGGGAAGAAGGTTGAGGTTCCGGTGGACTTTTGGGTTCAAGTTGAAGAATAGTCCCAAGGGCGCTTGAAGTGTACCAAGCGCAAGTTCTTGGCTTGACCCGAGATCGAAAGTATCGGGAAGGGCTGTGGATGTGACAGGATCTACGAGTTCATTAAACTCGGATGTGATTCCGATTGTAGGATCGGAAGTGTCAATGATGGGATCAGGGCGCAATACAGTGGTGCGATTGCCTAGTGACGTCGTTGAAGAGCTCGAGGGCGATGTTGATGATCCTGACGAGAGCTCAGAGCCGCTCTGCTGCGGCGAATGGACGTCGTGAATAGAGGCATTTGACGAGCCCTGTGATGGGTTTGCGATGTCGGGAAGTGGATTGCCGCCAGCAGGTGCGATGTAGGCATATGCAGAGGATGTGGTTGGTGGGAGGTCACACAATCCAGAGCCTTGTCTCCGCGTTGTCCGGGCATGTCTCTGCAGCGGGTGACTAGATGGCGCCCATCGGCACTCAAGGTTGTTGCGTTCACAGCCACGGCAGCAGGGTTTCCTCTCATCGCACTTCTTCTTGCGAGTGCGGCAGGTGAGGCACCCGGTGCGTACGCGCAGGATCGGCCCTGATCGGGGACGACGGGACAGGACAGATGACATTGCGGAGCAACAAGTCCTGAGGGGAGTGAAGCGGGCTGACGGCGTGGGGAGTCAAGGATGGAGAGCGTCGGTGTATCTGCCCTGGTCTGTATTGATTAACCGCGTTGCGGAGTATCGAGTTACTGTGTGTCTCTGGCCAAGCAGAATTTCGAAGGAATGGGGAGGAGGTGGAGCAATTTTGTAACCGCGGACAAAGCTCCGTCTGGGGAGGAGGTTCTGTCCTTGGGGGCACTAATTCTGGCCCGGGGCGGGGAAACAGGGGCGAAGAAACCTTGGAGGTTCTGGGCATCATGTGCTCGAGTGAGCTAGACCGCTAGAGAGGTGCCACAGGCGACTGTTGAGCATTGTGCTCTGGTACCATCATCTCCCGTTGATAGGAGAAAATAGTATTCAAGTATTATTCGAGTTTTCCCTAACTGGCTGTATTGAGTCCTGTTCTATGCTGACTTTGAAAGATGTATGGATCTGATTCATGTAGCACCCGGTATCACAATCTATATCACAAACCATGCCCTCTACAATAGCACGACCTTTACTTACTACTTCTCTACTTTATCACGCTGTCTCAATGTACCGTTTGAACTCCCTGTGATAACAGTCAGCCAAACTTCATCGTCTCGAATCGCATTGGGCAACTGTAACTTACCAATCTGTGACAGCCTCCCTCCAGACTCTCAGTTCATGCTCCCTCGTAAGTGCAAAGAAGTCAACAAAATCATCGCCAAGAATCTTGCGTGCAACACTGCCCGACGCCCTGAACCTATCAACGGCGCGGTCAAGAGTGTTGGGCAGAAGCTCGGGCTTGTCGCTCTTCGGCCGGGACTTGGACGGCGGCACCGGAATCGACAATCTCTGCTGGATTCCCCACAGGCCCGCGGCAACGAGCGCGATTAGGGCGTAATGAGGGTGTAGGTCTGCGCCCGGGATACGGATCTCGAAGCGCGTGGCCGAGGGCTTGCACACAGGTGGTGCGATCAGACGCACGCTCGACAGACGGTCTTCCAGCCCCCAGCTAATGTCTACGGGCGCCCAGTAATTCTCTATCAACCGCTTGTAAGAGTTGACGTTCGGCGCGAGCATCGGCATGATATCAGGAAGCGCGGTCAAAACGCCCGCCAGGAAGTGTTGACCAGCGTCAGATACCTGCGCCACATCCGGCCACGGCGCGTTTGTGTCTGGGGTTCCAGGGCGTGCAAAAGCATTGGTGCCATCAAGGTCGGTAAGAGACACATGGATATGGCCTGAGTTTCCGGGAAGCCCTTGCATCGGCTTGGCGAGGAAGCAGGGTGTGATGCCGTGCTCCATGCCGACTGATCTCGTGAGAAACCTGGAAGGGGGCAACATGAGTTTAACCTTCTTGTAGAGGAAAGCATGGAATATTACTTACTTGAATACGGAAACCTTGTCTGCCATTTCATCTATTGGGCTCACTGTGAGCGCCTGGGCAATTCAATTAGCAAGCTAATCCATCTCAATGTTACCATGTTCTGAGAGTCACGCACTGCTTCAAATACTCCTGGTCCGCTCTCGGTATGCCATCCTTCAAGACCGCAGTTCGTCTTGATTGCCTGGTCATAGATGTCGTGAAAGTACCTTTTCGATGCAACTGGCCTGGTGCAACTGTAGCCAAACATGCCACCTGAGATTGGCCGAACAGATGACGGGGGGTTAGTTTCGAGGTATGTGGCTAGATCTCGCCGCAAATCGCTTGATTGATAGCCGTCTTGCGAAGGTGTTTGGAAGTTCATGAACTCGAGCTCGACTAGGCAGTGCAGTTGTGTGTGTCAGTGAGCTATCAGAGAACGACGAGGATTCCCATGTTCTACATGGCAATCAAATCACTCACCTCCAGCCAATGCCCTAAAACCTCCATCTCTAAGCTGCCTGGTCAAAGATCTCATCGAGCTTCGAGCGCAGGCATGGACCGGCTTCTCGTCAACAGAGAAGTTGAGTAGAAAGAAAGGAATGTTGTCCTCAAAAGGAAGTCTTCTGAAAGAGTTCAGGTCCGGATGAGCAATGAAATCTGCATAGCCATCCTCTGGACTCGTGATCGCGGTCTCTGTAGTGTAAAGAGCATCGTGCATATCCCACCCAAAGATGGCTGAGCTCATGCCAAACCCGCTCTTGGCGCTGGCCAGGAACTTCTCCTTGGCCATAACCTTGCCGCGAAGAATGCCATCTGCGTCAATGCCTGCGACGCGCACCTTAGTGTCGTCCTTGAGCAGGGTTTCTATCTCTGCGGCCGCGATCATTGTGGATATTTGGCGGTTGACTGTGATGTTCGTGTCGACTCCCATTTGTTGTATTCAGCCTTGGGCGATTAAGATGCTGGCGTATTAGAAAGAATCACCAGAGCGAGTTGCTCAAGACGTGCTTCCAAACGAAATGAATAACAGCTTCGTATTAAGTCGAGCTCCGAATCAAAGGGTGGTTTCGGGCTTCGGTGGTGAACCACCAACCCTCAACGCGGCACGCCGCCATGAGACAGAGAGCTCCATGGATTTCTTTCATCCATCATGTCCAGCTTGGTGGCGCTTCCCAGAACCGACGAATATCTGAAGTGGAGAAATGGGGGTCTTCTGGAGATCCGACGGAATGCTAACGCAGCCGCCCGGAGCGCGCTTCCGGATCTGACTGGTTCAGCATGACTCCGCTCCTCCACCCGCCGGAGCAAGGCGCTGTGCCCCTACGGCACCCATTGTCAGTTGTCCGCCCACGACGCGGGAAGTCAGGGCTTCTAGGATCAAGTGCGAAGATCGGACATGTGATTGTTGATTTGCGACCCCAGAACACGTCACTGTCAAGATATTACTGTCCTACGATTTGCAACAAAGAGAATCTTCTGTGCGGAGAAGGAAATCTATGTTTGCTTGTGTTTCCACACTTTGTTCTTTACTGTCTATCGCGATCCCAAGCCCATCTACAAACAGACTTGCAACATGGCTACAATCAAAACTATCTCTCCCTCGACAAATCAAGTGGTCTGTGAGACCCCGAGCACGAGCATCGAACAGGCAAAGCAGATTGTCAAGTCCTCTCAGGATGCTTTCGCGTCTTTCAGTGCCCTGTCGCTATCTCAGCGGCGGGCTATTGTTGAGAAGGGCCTACAGCTGATCCAGGAGCGCAAGGAGGGGCTCGGTCGCGAGCTAACCACCCAAATGGGACGGCCAATCACATTTGCATCGAAGGAGATCGAGACGATGCAAAAGAGGGCTGATTACGTCCTGGAAACTGCCGCCACGGCCCTCGCAGACCTTCCCTGCAAGCCCGAGCAAGGGTTTCAGAGATGGATCAAGCGAGTGCCCGTTGGACCGACGCTCATCGTCTTCGCGTGGAACGTAAGTTTACCAATCCTACACCAAGCGCACATACGCCTGGCTAACACTGTCGATAGTTCCCGTATCTCATTATCGTCAACGCACTCGTCCCTGCCCTCCTTGCTGGCAACTCCGTCATTCTCAAGCCCTCTCCGCAGACTCCTCTCGTCGGTACCCGCATAGCGGAGATATTCACTGAGGCTGGCCTGCCTCCTAATGTGCTGCAGGTCATTCAGTCTGGAGACCCACAGATGCTCAATCAGCTTGTGCAGCTTCCCGAGATTCAGGCAGTCAGCTTCACTGGCTCAACTGCGGGCGGCCTCGCCATCCGCGAAGCGACTTCCCGTCGGACAATTCCGCTCAACCTAGAGCTCGGAGGCAACGATCCGGCCTACGTCAGACCCGATGCCGATATCAAATATGTAGCGGCCCAGCTTGCAGATGGTGCCGTTTTCAATTCTGGTCAGAGCTGTTGCGCGGTGGAGAGGATTTATGTTCACGAAGCAGTCCATGACGCATTTGTTAAGGAGCTCCAGAAGGAGATTGCAACGTAAGCCTGCCTCCCTTGTTACGCTATCCACAGCCTCTAACAGGTGACCTAACGCCAGGTACGCTCTCGGAGATCCCATGGACCCCAAGACTCTAGTCGGCCCAGTCATCTCGCAAGCTGCGAAGAAGGCCATCGAGGCTCAGGTTAAGGATGCTCTTGACAAGGGTGCAGTGGACATGACTCCTGACAATGCGACCTTCAAGAATCCTCCAGCGGGAGGAAACTACGTTGTGCCGACCATCCTCGCTAATGTGAACCACAACATGGTTGTCATGCAGGAAGAGACGTTCGGGCCTATCATGCCTGTGGCCAAGGTCGCCAGTGACGATGAAGCTATCCGACTCATGAACGATACCGAGTATGGTTTGACCGCTAGCGTGTGGACCAAGGACATCCCCCGCGGCCAGGAGATCATTGAACAGCTTCAGGCAGGAACAGTGTTCATCAATCGCTGTGACTATCCGAACCCAGTGAGTCATTCCCAGTGAGCCTGGACAACACGATCTTGAATCTGTACTAATAGCGCCAACTTAGGATCTTGCTTGGACTGGGTGGAAGAAATCAGGTTTGGGTTGCACACTCGGACCCAAGGGCTTTGACTTCTTCGTCAAGCTCAAGAGCTACCATATCAAGGAGAACCAGGCATGAAACTATTTAGCCTCAAAAGTACCTCAAATAGAGAAGATCTGCATTCAATAGACCCGGCGTATAACCCGTTTCTAAACAGAACTCAATGATCGCAAATATCTTTGGGAGCTCCAAAAGTGAAAGCCATGGTCCAGGTGCATCATTTGGAATTGCTTGCGACGGCAATCCGCTTCGGATGATTGTAGCGTTTGCGACGGCTTCGCCTCTTCTCGGAAGCAGCACTAGGGATGACTGCAAGTTCAGGACAGGCCCTTGCCAAGCGCCGGCCGGAGGATCAACCCAGATGTCTGGCAAGGTCAACAATTCGCAAGTGGAGAGCGCGGTAGCTTGTCCTATTGGTGCGGAGACCGCGCCGATCGCCAAGCGGACCTCATCCGTCCTTGGTGGGGCGGGGGATTCTCGAGCTCTCCACAGCTTTGACGTAGTTTAGTCCGCGTGGGAGTTTGTTTCTGCTTCCACGTGGCGACGATGCAGCAAAGTCCGCGCCTGGATAGGGCATCTCCAACTTGCGCGGCCGACATAGGAGCTGCCGCGGAGGTGCCTGATGCGGTCACGCGAAGCAAACTGACAGACTATGGCTCCATCTTGCGGGCCAGAGTGATCCCACGATCATTTTTTATGAGATATTAGACCCGATTAAGTCAACAAGCTTGTAACATTGACAGTGGACGAGAAATTCTGGTCGAATTGCTTCTTCTCTCCCCCCGACCATACTGTTTTTTTTTTCTTTTGCACATTCAACCCGGCTCTTCAATCACCATGCCTGGAAGATTAGAAGGAAAGAATGCCATCATCACCGGTGCCGCAGGGTAAGAACAAGTCCAAACTCTACCAAGCCTTCAACAAACATGCTAACTCCTCACAGCGGCATTGGCCTTGAGACCACTATCTTATTTCTTCGCGAAGGAGCTTCCGTGTTAATGACGGATATCAACCATGCGGTCCTCGACAAGGCACTCCACAAAGTACAAGGTCTCGTGAAGAACCCTGCTGGCCGTGTCGAATCCCGTGTCGTCGACGTGTCTAAGGAGGCTGATGTGGAGGCTGCTGTCGCCCACCTCGACAGCTGGGGAGGCCTTGATGTCATGTTCAACAATGCCGGCATCATGCACCCCAAGGACGGTGACGCAGAGGAGTGCCCCAATGACATCTGGGACCTCACGATGAACATCAACGTCAAGGGTGTGTGGTACGGGAGCAAACACGCCGTGAAGTCGCTACGGAAGCATAACAAGAAGAAGGGCAGCATCATCAACACCGCCAGCATGGTTGCCATCGTCGGCGCGGCGACACCCCAACTTGCCTACACTGCCAGCAAGGGCGCCGTGCTCGCCCTGACCCGCGAGCTCGCAATAGTGCATGCCCGTGAGGGTTATCGATTCAACTCTCTCTGCCCTGCGCCACTCAAGTAAGTGTTCCTTGAACAACCTTCCTCTCTAATATCATAGTCTAACGACAAACTTCTAGCACTCCCATGCTCCAGGATTTCCTGGGCGACGACAAGGCCAAGCGTTTCAGGCGCGAGGTTCATTTCCCCAGTGGCCGGTTCGGCGAAGCCATTGAGCAAGCCCACGCTGCTGTCTTCCTTGCCAGCGACGAGAGCAGCTTTGTCAATGCCCACGACATGGTCGTTGATGGTGGTCTGACCAAGGCATACGTGACTCCCGAAGGCCCTGCGACTGAGCCGCCTTGTAACAACGCGTTTTAGACCATGTAGCAGGTTTTGAATAGACATAGAATTAATAGAACCTTGAAGAAGCCAAGTGGACGCAATGTATCGCAAAGACCGAGATATGAGCGGATTTGTCTTGAGAGTTTTGAGCACGAAGCTTTCGCGCAAACATGCACCAACCTGTTTTATGAAAGCTCTTCATTGAACCACTGGATTGCTTCATGGTGGCTTGGTAGAAACAACTAGATAGCTTGTACTTTGACTCCATGAGCCAGCTTTCCATCTCCGTAAACCACATCATCCCTACTAACACGTACAGTTTCTCTGGCTCTTCAACCCGAGATACGCCCGAGACACAATGGCAATGCTTTAGTAAAGTGCGGTGCCCCTCTCACGAGCAACAAAGAACCAGTACTTCCGCGCCGAGAGCTTACGCAGCCTCTTCCCTCCCCAGATCATGGGCAGGAATGTCCCAGTGCAGACCAGTGCAATGAGAGAGACAGAAATGAAACAGTTCTGTAGTCCAAGGTTGTTAATCCACGGGTTGATCGCGTAGCTAAAGGCGAATCCGAGAGTGTTACGGATGATGATGACTGTGATCATCGACTCGCCGGTGATCTCCTTGAAGCAATCGACTGTGTATGCAAGTGCGATAGCTCCACCACACACAACGCCAAAGGTGACAAACGCAATACCAAAGATGAGTCCTGCGACATGTACGCCACGGCTGGCCCCTACACCCCAGAGGATCAGACCCACTGAAGATAGCAGGCCTGACACAGCCAAGGTCCATAGGCGGTGCTCAGGTTCACGGATACCGCCGTTTCGGCGAGCCAGTCGCAGAGCTACGGTATCGGTGAACCATCCTGACCATAGAGACGAGATGGCGCCGGCGACGAAAGGCGACAGATATGCCACTCCTACCATGGCTGGCGAGAAGTTGTAGGGAGCTCCGCCGAGAATAGTCGACATCGTTCCGTTCATCACGTTATACCACGCAAGGTTGGTGCCGTACAGTAGTCCGGCCCACAGGATGTTTGGAAAGAAAACTAGAATTTCGAGGGCACGCCAGCTCTTCATCAGCGTCTGTGACGGGCTCGGACGGCCGGGCAGGAGAGTCACAAAGCTGAGCTTCTGATTGTAGCTCCTAGCCGGAGGATATTGGGCCTGCACGGCCTGCTGGGCTTCGGCACTCGGTTCTGCCTTTTCGCTATCGGACTCATCACCCTCGGAGGTGGCGCGGAAGTAGATGGTATCTTCCATGAAGAAGAACATAATAATGGCAGCCACTGCAAGGACCAGCGCGCCAAAGTACATGACCCAGTGCCAGCCGGCGCCGTCGTTGATGAATCCAGCAAAGAAGGGCGCGAGAAAGTTGGACCCAAAGAGGACGAAGGCGTAAACAGCCATGTAGTGGCCTCTCTCGTGGGCGAAGAATAGATCGGGTACTGACACCTCTGGCAAACTCTCAACAGGGGCTGCAAAGATGCCAAGCAAGATACGATGGGCGTACCACTGCCCAGCTCCCTGAGAGAAGGGAGCCCAGACCATGGGGATGATAGACAGCACTGTCGAGACGATGTAGACGCCTCTTCGACCGTAGCTCATAGCGATCGGCTGCCAGAGAAGACATGCCCAGCCCAAGAACAGGAACATGAGCCCCGTACCCAGGTTGAGATTGCTGACCGTCAGGCCCTGCGCATCCGCGATATCCGTCAAGCACGAATACTGCACTGCAGTCGCTATGCCGATGGCAAAGACGTACAAGTAGACCATGCCGACGGCCATGAGCTTCCGGGTCCGGGACCAGTTGAGGGGATCCTCTGGGTCGGCGCTGGGGTGAGGCTGCAGGACGATGTGGCCATGGTGGTGGGATCTTGCCTCAGCGGTACTGGAGCCAATTTCATCAACGAGACGGATCGTGCCCGGCACACCGCCATGAGCGTGAGCCTCCGCAGAAGCCATCATTTATTGATTGAGAGAGTTCAGAATGTTGGATGGTGTGAGCGATCTTGGTCTTAAGAGAGCTGTGGAAGGGGCTGAATCAACGCAGATATATATCTCCCTCGGACTCGATGACTGCGTCGAGGACTAAAGGATATCTCGTTCTGCCAATCCGCATGACGGAAGGCGAGGATCACTTCGAGGTGGCGTATCTTACACCAACGCTTCTGGATCCACTGGAGACCACACTCGAGAACGCAATGAGTAAAATGGGACTGAGCCATGCCTTGAGCAGATAGGTACCCTGATGCCGGTTTCACCCCAGTCCAGGGCTGATCCCCCGCAAACACCCCACAAAGCCATAAAGCAAGGCTAACCTGGTGCTAGTGTACCAGACTCCCAGCGTGCGTAGATACTGTCATGTGGCGTCGTGATGTCAGCGCGGAATTTTGTCCCATTGGCCTAGAGACCGCGTTCGGCTCCACAGATATGGTAGTCAACACCAAACTTCTGGGTCCTTCGTCCACGGGGGTGATTAACACTATTCTGATACCAGATTGATGATGGTTTAGATGCAGCCCTTGGAGCCCTGGGATCCCGATGTGCCTCATTGGGATGAGCTCCGGTCCAGCGGAACGAGTTGTAATCATCCATCAGGGCTAGGTTCCCTTCTGGCATCCCAAAGACCCGAAGACACTCGCAGCTCGATAGTGTGAAGATCAAGAGACTCTACGAATTTCAACTTACGCACTGTCTCACTCGAAAGGGTTCATCCAAGTGAACTGTTTGGTCCGACATGGCATCAACATTATGTTCAATCCCGGAAGGTTATCCGGCAGAAATCATCGGTTATGCCGACCCTTGGATTGCCAGTCCCGGTGATATGGTCGAGATCAAGGTAAGCTGCCTGTGCCTCTGGCAACAGTGTGCTATTTGCGCTGTCTGACCACTTATAGGTATCATCGACCGCTGCTCGGTATTGTTACCGGACTGTCCGCTTGATTCAGGGTCTGGACGTACCAAATGCCGCAAAAGTTCACGTAGAGGAGGTCCTCAAGATTCACAAGAACGAACTGCCCGGAAGATTTCAACAGGCTCACCCTGGATCTTACGGCGTCGTTCCTGGGCTGATATTCAGACCAGACGAAGCCGGTGTCGCCGTCTCGTTCTTCGCCCAGCCTTACCTTATCGACCCTGGCCACGACCAAACCATGGTCTCCTTAGTTGACAGGGAGGGCCATTCTGGAGTCTCTATCGTTTTACGAGATGGTGGTTATTTTGCAGTGCGTATTGGAATTGGCCAACGACTCATCGATGCCGCGGTTGACTACTCCATCCTCCGAAAGCAATGGATCAAGATCAACATTGTTGTGTTAAATTCCACTGTAGATGTGACTATCGAGCCGGTACTGCACTTGGGTCAGAAGAGAGGACAATACCATCAACAACATATTGAGCTACCCGCACCTATGATCTTACCGCCCATGGCCGATTTAGTCATCGCTGCCTTACGCCCACGGCCAGGCCTTAAGGCATCCGACTTCTTCAACGGACGTATAGAGTCGTTGCGGGTGTCCGCTTGCGGTGCATCCCAGCGACTCCTCGTCGATCTCGACTTCTCGCTCAAGATCTCTTCTGATAATATTGTTGACATTTCTGGCAACGGTGGGCACGGGAGCCTAATCAATGCTCCTTCTCGGGCTGTCAGGGGCCACAACTGGGACGGCAGTGAGACTGACTGGACCAAGGCCAAATATGACTACGGTGCCATCCACTTTCATGAGGATGACCTCGATGATGCAAACTGGGATACTGATTTTGCCATCGAGATCCCCCAAGACGCCCGGTCCGGTGCCTACGCTGTCGAAGTCTGCAGCACAGAAGATCCGAGTGTCAAGGACAGCATCGTGTTCTTCGTACGTCCGAGACAGGACTCAACAGCCAAACTCGCCTTGGTCCTCTCTACATTCACGTACACGGCCTACGCCAACGAGCATATGTACGACCAGAGCAAGTCCTCGCAACTGGCACTCATTGGTCAGTCAGATCCGCGCGCCGACAGCGACTTCCGACGTATGGTGCGGCGCACCGACCTCGGCCTCTCGCTCTACGACGTGCATCGCGACGGCTCGGGATCCGTGTTCTCCTCGACGAAGCGGCCTGTGCTCAATGTGCGCCCCGGCTTCCACCACTGGGCGTTCAACCGGCCCCGAGAGTTCAGTGCCGATCTCCTCATGATAGGATTCCTGGAGCAGCTCGGCATCCCGTACGACGTCACAGTAGATCACGAGCTACACGCCCAAGGCGTCCGGGCCATCGAGCGCTACTCCACCGTCATCACCGGAAGCCACCCGGAGTATCCTACATTGCAGTCCCTGAATGCATACAGCGAGTTCGCCGCCCGCGGAGGCAACATCATGTATCTTGGCGGCAACGGCTTCTACTGGCTGTCGGTGTTGGACCCGGCAAACCCCCATAGGCTCGAAGTCAGGCGCGGCGATCAAGGGGTGCGGACATTCCAGCTGCCGGGAGGCGAACGGCACCATAGTCTCAACGGTGCGCAGGGAGGGCTGTGGCGCTCAAGAGGCCGCGCGGCAAACTACCTATTTGGTGTGGGCTGCTGCGGCGAGGGGATCGGCCCCGGTGTGCCCTTCCGCCGGACCGCCCACGCGGCGGATGCCCGCTTCGCGTGGGTCTTCGAGGGCATCGGAGAGGACGAGCTTATCGGCGAGCACGGCTTCGGCGGCGGGGCAAGTGGCGATGAGATCGACAGGTATGATGTTGAGCATGGCAGCCCAGAGTCAGCCGTCGTCCTGGCGACTAGCATCGGGCATCCGGATGGCTTTGCCCTGTTCCCGGAGGACATCGGATTCCAAGAGCTGGCCGTGACGGGATCTCAGACAAACAAGATCCGCAGCGATATTGTCATCTATGAGACCCCGGCCGGCGGCCAGGTGTTTTCCGTCGGAAGCATGAACTGGTATTGTTCGTTGGGTTGGGACAGCTATGACAATAATGTTGCCAGGCTCACAGGAAATGTGATACGCAAGTTTACGGGAAGCCAAAAGTCAACTTGGGTATAGGTGTACGTGTAGACAACGAGTAATACAAATTGTCAGTCCCCGTGATGGATACACTTTTGAGTTCATGAAAGTGTTTCATGTACTCCGATCAGTAACGAGTGTCCGAAAACGGAGGCGAATACTTCTCTATAGGCCGGTCAACGTATCACAGTAACATCATCAGACCGTTCCCAGGATTCGTCATAGCAAACGGGACTTCTTAACATTCTTGTCGGCACGGCCCGGATAAGCTCGTTACCTAGCTGCTTATGGCCAATCAGGTGATTCGGTTGTTCATTCATGCCGGAAATTCCACCCCCTCCTCGACAGATATCACAAGCTACTGCGATAGCTTCTCAGAGGCATTCGATGAAAGAGGAATAGCTGCAAGTGATCTAACTAAGATGCGGACACTGCAAGCCGATCTCCTCTATAGGAGTTCCTAGGCGTAAAGTGCGGTGGTTGCCTGGAGTGGCTGAACTTTGTTGAAAGAGAATTGCATCAAATTCCCAATCGCTCTTTTGCATCATATGATCTTTCACGAGATTCTTCTGTACACATTCCGAGGCGCCACCATCACGCAAATCCATAGTACCAACACTATCCTGAGTAATGCTGTCGGAGCACGTGTGCTGAAATACCCGCTAGATGGGAAAGGCGATGCCGGCAAGAGAAATGATCTGATTACCACCCCACACCGAAAGTATAATGATTCCGAACCTGATGCCCCTCACTTTGAGGCTCAATCATCAGTCATGGGGTAGCTCATCATGAACATCCTGGCGCCATGCGTTTAGCTATGTCACCCGGCAGCGCCTGGTATTTAAATATCAGCAGCAGACACACTCCTCGCACTCCACCTTTGCCCCCTTCGTAGACACACAACACCAGCAGCATATACCGACATCACTAGTAAACATCTGTCGAAACAATCCAAAGCACACTCGCAAACATGGCATCCAACGGGATCCCAGACCAATTATTCCACACCACCCTCACAGTCATCGACTACCACGAGGACCCATCCGGCGCCAAGCGCTCCGTGTACGTCCTCGGCACCCACGGCAAGCTCGAGGCCGCCAAGGCCTTCGCCAAGACCGCCCTCCAGGACCTCAAGTACGAAAAGTCCGACTTTGCAGAGTACGCAGAGCGCAGCCCGTTCGAGAGCTGGAGCCACGGCGACGGCGTGCTCGTCTACGCGCGCGCGCCCGCGGGGCAGGTCTTCCTCGTGGGCATCGACACGGCGCCCAACAACGAGTCGCTGCCGGCGAACCTCGACGGCACCGTGAACGCGCCCCAGGGCCCCAAGTCGCTGCACTACGTGCTGCAGACGACGATCGACTACAACCTGGACCGCACGGGGGCCGCGCAGACGACCGAGATACAAGGGGCGTACATCCACCGCGTCGACGCGTTAAAGGCTGCGCACAAGTGCCTCGATCCGAAGGAGTTCGCCGAGTTCAACGTCCGTGACACCCCCGAGATGGCGGGCCAGTGGCCGTATGGCGAGGACGTGGTCGTGCATGCCGTGGCGGAGACGGGGCAGAATTCGTTTGTCACCTTGACGACCATCCCTGGGGCGCACGCTCGGCACGGGAAGAAGAGGACTTGAGGCGATTTCCAATTTGAGTCGGAAAAGGAGAGAGTCCTTGCTACTGTCGGGCATTGTTCCTTGGGTCATCTTTCAGTTCAATCCAGGCGTTGACTAGGTATGAGTGGAACCCCTTCTTTTGGCAGTCTATCCAGTATCATCAGAATGTAATAATATCGTTGTGACATTGTCCTCATTTCAAGATGATTTGCCCCAGTGCACTTGGTCTTCCGCATGCATCTTGTCGACAGCAATGGGCATCTCGGGCCTTAAAGACTTCCTCAGTGCTGCGTGCCAGGACCAGGACCAGGACCAGGACCAGGACCAGGGTATCCCGGATCCCGGCTTACCGGAACGGCTCGGAGGCTTGGCAAGTCCGGGGAAAACAGCCAATTCCCGAAGGGCCCACGTGACAAGAGCTGTGCCCCAATTCGTGATCAATCAGACCACCAGCATTCACCGCGTCAGCTGGCTGCGATGCGATACCATGCTTGGCTGAGTGACTGCCATTTTTGACACTATTCTGTGAATAGGTGAAAGGCTGGGATCCGAATATTCACACCAGGTTCTAAGACTCGGTCATGACTTGTTGCTGATCGGTGCTGAACACGCTACATCCAAATCGGCCGTGTACCCTCCGCTTCAAGCAACCTCTTTGCTGGCGTCTCTTTGCAGATCGAACAACCCTCTAGCGCATTCACAATGATGGACAAAGACCAAAAGGTCGTCATCGTTGGCGCTGGCATATTCGGCCTCTCAACGGCCTACCAACTCGCGTCCGAGGGTTACCGCAATGTCGTGGTGCTCGACAGGCACATGCCGCCCGTGAGTTGCACCCATTCACTGCCGAGGCCAGCTCCACAATGAGGGCCTACTAACAACCGCTTCGCTCCAAAGGTACCCGACGGGTCCAGCAACGACATCTCCCGCATAGTCCGCTTCGACTATGCGGACGAGGACTACGTGAGGGTCGCGCACGAGGCGTACCAGCGCTGGCGCAACCTGCCCAAGTACAGGGACATCTTCCACCCGACTCGCTTCCTGCAGGTCGGCACCAGGTCGTCCTCGGGCGACAACACCTGGGCGGATAAGACCACCGCGCAGTTGACCAAGCGCGGCCTGCCGTGGAAGATGCTGAACGACGCGGATGCAGCGAAGCGCGTGTTCCCGGAAATCACGGGAGCTATCACGGAGGGCGAGTTTGTCGGGTATCACCATGAGCAGGCCGGGTGGGCCGATGCGGCCAAGGCGGTGAGCCAACTGCGCGATGACTGTATCGAGGCGGGCGTGTCCTTTATCTGCGGTCCCGAGGGAACTGTAACGGGCTTCGAGATGGTTACGCGGGAGACTATCTGGGCTTTGCGGACGGCGGCCGGCACGCTCGTCCAAGGCGATCACTTTATCTTGGCCGCAGGGGCCTGGACTACGGGACTTGTCAATATGTACAACTCGACCCTCTCAACGGGGCAAGTCGTCGGGTTCGTGCGCCTCACAGACGCCGAGATGGCAAGATACAAGGACAACCCGGTTTGCCTCAACTTCAGCACGGGCTGGTTCTGCTTCCCGCCGCACAAGGATGGCAACTACCTAAAGTTCGCCGTCCACGGCTGGGGATACACGCGGGCGCCCGGCGAGGACGTGTCCGAGACGTCTCCGGCCTCGCTCCCTCCCACCAAGCCGCGCCGGCAGCGGGCGAATTTTGTCCCCGCCGACGGCGAGCAGCGGTTACGAGACGGCCTGCGCATGCTCTTCCCCGAGCTGGCTGACCGGCCGTTCCACAAGGTCGCCATGTGCTGGTACACTGATACGCCGACGGGGGATTTCATCATGGGTTACCATCCTGAGTACAAAAATCTCTTCATTGGGGGTGGAGGCAGCGGACAGTACGTTTCCACAGCCTTTGCAGAGCGGCGTGGCCGACACTGACACTTGAGACCTTAGTGCCTTCAAATTCCTTCCAGTCCTCGGCGAGTACATGTCCCTTGCGATTAAGAAGCAGCTCCCGGCATCTCTGGCGTCCAAGTGGCGTTTCCGCACGGAACATCAGGGCCAGCGTGATACCTTTGTGGGAGATGGTAGCCGGGGAGGGCCTGCGCGGCGGGAACTTGATGCTGATGAGAGAGCTAGGCTTGCGATAGAAGCGCAGGCTAAACTTTGAAGATGAGAAAAGTTTTCTCTTCTGTATTTAGACATGGTTATAATCCATAGTATACAGTGATCAGGCATCTTGCCTCGCAAAGCTATGTACACTCGACTGCCAGACAAGTCTTCAACTGCGCCGTTAACATTCCCCTCTCCAGTCACTGCCTCCGGCTTATGGCACATTCAAACGCCGTACATGTCCATGAGAGTCTTGAAGTCAGGGTTCGCCAAGAGATGCGCCGCTGTGATGCGCTTCTTGGGGTCGTAGTGGAAGCCCTTGCGCAGGATGGACAGCATCAGCTGCATCTCGCCCCAGGTTATGTCGGGCTTTCGGCGCTCGAGCGCGTCCTCCAAGGGCGTGTTCAGGTGCGGCTCAAAGTCCAGCCGATACGGATCAAGATCATCCTTGTACCACCAGTCCTGGGCCTGACCAATACCATCGTGCTTGCCGTAGAACCCGTCGAAATCGCAGCACGCGCCCACATACTGTCCCCTCCACTCCTTTGGGAACTGACCGAGGTGGCAGATCATGGACCCAATGTGACCGGGGCCCCGACCGCCAAACAGAGGCTCGCCATCGTCCGCATAGAGCTGGGCGAAGAGGTACGTGAAGGACCACATGTCGCTGGCGAAGCTGGGCTGGACGTTGTGCATCCTCTCGGGCGCGCAGTACTGGAACTCCTGCTCTGCTGTGTTGGCAACAGGCTCCCCGGCTTGGATGGAGCTGTGGAAGTTACCGAGGCGGATAGTTCCTTCGACGATGTCTGGTGGAAAGGCGATCGGTTCGACCAAGTCTCCTTCCTTGTAGTGGTTATTGCTGGACGGCTCGAGGTAGACCTTGCGAGGCCTGCCCACCAAATGGTAGAATTGATCCCTTGTCGTCTTCAGGATGGGAGATACGTTCCAGGTGACGGCCTCGGGGTTCAGGTCTAGAGAATTGAAACTGGCATGGTTAAATCCTGGCGCTTTGCAAACAAGGCAGGGTAAACAGAAAAAGGAACCATACCTCCGTGCACGATGCGCATTTCATGCAGCCCTTTGAGGGCGACGAGGAGCTGCTTTGCCGCCGACATGCGTTGTTGTAAACTCTTCTTGAGGCAAGTGTCAAGAGAGTCGTCGAGATTTGGGCCCATCGGAGGCAGGACGAGGATAGCATGGTCGACGCCGGCGACTCCCGAGGGGCTCCAGATAAACCGGTCGCAGGGAAGCGCGAGGGCAGCTCGGCTGGCAGGCTTGTTGCACCTCTTTCTTATCCTCCCGGCGATGCAAAGCTCATGCTGGCCGTGATCTCCGTCGACAAAGACCTTGAGGGTGACGAACCGGTCGTTGTCAAGGTCGCGCGCGAGCCAGAGGGTGTAGCGGCCCGACCAGCTAAGTTTGTGCTCGACAAGATAGCGCCCGTTGAGCAGTTCTCCGATGGTGATGGGGAGGTAGGAGCCGTCTGGAGCTGTGTAGAGGTCGCGGTACTCGCATTCGGCCACGTTCAAATCCAGGTCATCGATGTAGTCACCATAGTCTGGCTCCGACTTGATGGTGTCGCCCGGTGAGGCAGGAGGGGAATTCATGTTGTTGAACCATGAACGAGCAAAGAGGCTTTGAAGGCGAAGAGATCAAGAAAAAAGACAGTTCAATTTGTGCCTGGAGGCTTTTTCAGAAAGATTTGGAGTTGGTTTCAGAGGGATCAGATTTCTGAATTGCAGGTGAAGGGGGTCTGGGAGTGGTGTCGCGTGCAAGAAAAGCAAAAGCATAGCATACAAACGAGCAGAGGTTTGTCATGACAGCTCTTTGGGGACAAGGCACATAGGTAGCAGAGTAGTAGATTTTGGATATATACTTCATGAACAAATTCACTGTTGTATGGGTGAATGAGTGGCCTAGGGAGCGGCGAGGGCCAGGGAGATGTCCCAGGTGACATGATTCAAAGTCCGTGGCGCTGCTTAGATTGTAGTCTGTACAAATATCAATAATGTTCACCCGCCACTTCAAAGGAGAGAGCTTGTAGAAACTGGGCATGGGTAGTCGAAGATATCAGACGTGCACATTGGCCGACTGAAGTTGTCTTGCTGCTGACCACTTACCTCTGACGTTCCTGAAAGCTGGGAATATCCGACTGGACGTGGCCAGTCTCACCCGACACGACACTGGCAGGCCGATTCTGCGGTTGGCCCACACTTGCTTGCTTTGGTGTTTCCTTCGTGCTCTGCATATTTATAATAGTTTGCATTTGGATGAGGGGCCCCGCGGGATGCTTCAGTAAATGTGGTGCAAGCTGGCTGGCAAGCCCACCCGACCGGTCCGTGACATTTGCAAAGCTAGATGAAATTGCCTGATAAGAACTAACGTGCGTGCCATCGTGCCATCGCGTGTGCATCGTCCAGGTTCCCAAGCAGGCCAATTATCGCAGGAGACTGGCGAAACTCAGGTCGAGGGGCCACCCGGGATACCGTACTTGTATGTACAGGACCTCATCCATGTGAGTGACCAGGATCCTGGGTCACTCACCCTCAAGACGGACAAGTAAGGTAGCGTGGGTCAGGGCTGCATTATATCGTCTGATCTATTATCGTGTAAAAGACATGAGGAGGGCACCAAGAGGTGGGCTTGGGATCTGGCGGCGATATGTACCCAAGTTGCTCCTCTTTCGGTCGACGAGTGAAAGCACATAAGCGATTCGCCATGTACTAGCCAGGAAGGCCCGGCTCGTCGCCGTGGTGTGTTGGTTTGTGGATATCTCAGTTGGCACACCCTCTCTCCTCACGGTGGCAGGCCGGTCACTAGGTACCTATGTAGTAAAGGAACGTCCCATGCGGATGTGGATGTCATCGTGCAATGTAGTCTTTTAGTGGATGAACTGGCAGCACCGGCTGGAATCTGCGCCCTGCGGTCTCCACAACGGTGCGGCGCGGACTGCATGAAGCCTTTCTTTCTCTGAGCGAGAAGAAGGATGATGCGCATTTCTGCACCCTCTCTCACTGCGGTGGCTTGACATGTGGAAGAGCCCGCGAAATTGTAGCAGACTTCTAAGGTTGTTTGGTTCCACAGGTGAAGTGTGCTAAACCTCCCCGGACGGGCCCTACTGTGGTGTACGAGGAGTATTGGTGGCGCTGTGAGCAGCACTGAGTTTGTGGACCGGGCAGACTTGAGACGCCGCTAGTTAGTGCAAGCACTTAAAAATGCGCCCCTCTCTACTCTCATCCGCACAAAGCGCGTCCCCAGACGCGTCGCGGGGCAAAATCCAATGGTCGCTTTGTCAACCATTCTTGTTTTGTTTGCTCCCAGCCCAGCTTTCTCGACCACGCGCACAATCTCTTTTGTTATTCAGTGTAGGGAACCACAGTCGCTTCAATATGGCACCGACAGAGACCAGGCATGAAGAATACCAATACCTAGATCTCGTCCGCGAGATCCTCGACGAGGGTGAGCGGAGGCCAGATCGGTAAGTGTTTCCTGCTTCCAGCACACGAAAGAACACTCCGCGACGGGCACCGAGGACGACCAAGACACTGACTCATTTCTCCGTCCCGCTCCTCTGCAGCACCGGCACGGGCACGCTCTCGATATTCGCCCCGCGACCCCTCAAGTTCAAGCTCCACGGCGCCGACGACCGGCCCGTCCTGCCCCTCCTCACCACCAAGCGCGTCTTCACCCGCGCCGTCATCGCCGAGCTTCTCTGGTTCGTCGAGGGCAACACCAACTCCAAGGCCCTCAGCGACGTCGGCGTCAAGATCTGGGACGGCAACGGCTCCCGCGACTTCCTCGACAACCTCGGCCTGCACCACCGCGAGGTCGGCGACCTCGGCCCCGTCTACGGCTTCCAGTGGCGCCACTTTGGCGCCGAGTACGTCGACTGCCACGCCGACTACACCGGCCAGGGCGTCGACCAGCTCGCCGAGATAGTGCACAAGCTGCGCACCAACCCCTACGACCGCCGCATGATCCTGAGCGCCTGGAACCCGCGCGACATGAAGCAGATGGTCCTGCCGCCCTGCCACATGTTTGCCCAGTTCTACGTCTCGTACCCGAACAAGCAGAAGAGCGCCACATCATCATCAAACAGCCAGACAAATGGCAGCAGCAACGGGGACACGGCAGCAGAGAAGCCCTCCAAGGGCCACCTGCACTGCCAGCTGTACCAGCGGTCCTGCGACATGGGCCTCGGCGTGCCCTTCAACATCGCCAGCTACGCGCTGCTGACGCACATGCTCGCCCACGTCTGCGACCTGGTGCCGGGCAGCCTGACGCACGTCATGGGCGACGCCCACGTCTACATCGACCACATTGACGCGCTGCAGACGCAGCTCGAGAGGGAGCCCAGGGCCTTCCCTCTGCTTGAGATCCCGCGGGAGAAGGGCGGCAGCATCGACGGGTGGAAGGTGGAGGACTTTGTCATCAAGGGCTACGACCCGCACAAGACGATTGCCATGAAGATGTCGGTGTAGGGGGAGAAGAATTAGACACAGGACGTGTTACTATGTATTGGCGTGGGATTCCTTTTGTGTTGGGATTTTGGGATGTGGTTTAGACATTTTGTTCCGCTTTTAGATACACATGGCATTCAACATTTGCTAAAAAGGGAAATGGCATTTTGTTTTTATAAACTGCACCAGTTCTTGAGGTCTACCTATCGGGTTTGTGTTTGTGCGGTCGAATCCGACCGGCTGGGAGCATTCCATTCTTTGCCTTTGTCACACTGAAGCAAAATGTCGCCGAGCACGCAGCCTACCACAGTTGATCACGTTGTTAAGATGTGCATCGACACTTGTTTCTAACTTCTACTCTTGACTCAGTATCGTAGCATATCTGCACATTGCATGAATCACACACCAGTTTCGATCAGGAGCATGTCGCTCAGCTGTAGCACAGGTGTGATACTGATGACGCCACGGTATTGCAATGTATATTCACAAGGCACAGCTTAAAATGAACAAGAACTCTTTGACATGATCTATAGAAATACATAAGCGTTACAAGCATGCAGAGATGTCCATGGAAGAGTACGTCACCCAGCGGCGACGGACTCTTTCGTGGACATCCAGTCCCCCACCCCCCGTCTTCATGTGCTTCAGGACAGAGAACTCTATCCTACACTGCTTCCGTAGACAGATGCGTCTGAAATGCCACCAGAGTCTTTGATATCACTCCCCCCAATCATATTCTCGAGAACCGGCGACAGCCCTTCATGCCGACGATGGAGTCTTCGGGCGCAATTATCGGAAAACCGATAAGTGGACACAGTTGTCCGAGAAACAGTAGGTGCAGCTCTTTGAGAGAGGATTAGGTTGCCCCCTTTCCGTTGCGTCGGCGTCAGTGATCGCGCCCCTCAGGGAGTCCAAGGGCGGTGTGCCCGAGAGAAGCCACTTCGAGCTGGAGGTCAGACCCTTCACACCCTTCACGAGGCAAGCGATCGTGGGGTTGTCGTAGGAGAATTCCTCCTACACGATGCGAGCGAAGCTGCACATTTCGAGGCAGAAGCTCTGGAAGAACTTAACCAGAGCAATTCGACCGATGGGACATGAAGTTGTTGGAAGTGGGCTGATCCTCGGAAGCACCAGGCTGGTCCTCAGCGGCAGCAGCCTGGCTGCAGACTGCTGACTAGTGGTGGACTGCCGTGAGCGGCTCTGAAGATGGGCTGGATATTGTGTAGGGTTGGATATATATATAAATTCATCTGTTGGTCTCGTGCGATAGCGGAGAGGACGCAGGGGCAGCACATTGACCGAGTCCTACACTTTTGGTTAGTCAATCGAATCAGATGCGGGGCTTGAAGTATGCTTACACTGAACCGCTTGCTTGTGTGCCTCAGTTTCCCTTCACCCATGAACACGCCGCCCAAGGCCGGCACTGAGGCACGCTGCCGTACGGGGGATCCATGGGGCCGTCTGCAGGCGGGAGTACCGCCTTCAGGACGGAGGCCACCTCGAGTATTGCTGATTTGTAATAAGTTTCAGTATATATATATATGTGTGTATGTGTGTGTGTGTGTGTGTGTGTGTGTGTGTGTAAATATATATAAGAGCCGCCGTTCTGATGGGATTGTTCGACGAGGACCGAAACCCTTTCATGTTTTCTTTACCTGCGTAGAGACAGAATATCAGCGAGTGTTCACAGTCAGTGCAGAGTAGGGTTGGGAGACGGCAGGTCTTACTTGGGTTCCGCGAGGAAACTGTCCCCGAAGCTGCTTTCGCTTTGGTGGGTGGTTGGAGGTCGGAGTTCTGCTTGCGCCTCTTGCAGTTCTGAGCCCCAAGCCTCGCCACCACCAGAGGCCTCCCTCTCAGTGCAAGCCCTCCCGGCCACAGACGCTTGGCGTCCACGGCAGGGTACGCCGCCAAGAAACGACGTACCGTGCCGAGGACGTCAAGCGCCACCGAGGGGATGCAGCAGAAGTCGAGGCCTCTTCCGTCGCCTCCTCGCCCTCCATGTCGTCCTCCGCCTCGTCGTCAACGTCACTCTCACCACCCCAACTCTCGTCCTCGAACTTGTCGAGGAGGGCCTGGCTCCGCTGAACGAAGTGATCCGGGACCTTCATGCCCGGATCGATCACCGCGTTCAGGGTGACATCGACCTTGCCGTCTTTCTTGAGTTCTGGTGTCATAGCAACAGCATGAGACTCTAGAAATGCTAGGAACTCGTCAAGCTCTGGCTCGCGGGCGGCAACAATGGCCATCTGCCGGAACTGCTCCGGCTTCTTGTATTGAACAAGAAGGTTGGTGACGATGACCCTACGGGCCCGAGTGAGGTAGTTGACCCGCTCCTGATGGGTCTGGCCAATGGCAACCCCTGCAGGGGGAACCAAGCGCTCTTCCCGATGATGTACAGCGCGATAGTACAACGCGATAGTACAAGTCTATCGTACAACCCCACAGTCCATGGTTGTCATACTCGTGAGCTGTTTTCTGCCAAAGAAGAGTGAGAAGGCGAGTCAGCCGAAGAACCTCGAGTCCGAAAGAAGCCCAAGTATGAAGAAATGGCAAAAGAAAGCTCTCTGCCGGACTTGACGAACCTTTGCTTGCTTTAAATAGCTGGATGTAGATGGAATGTCGTATATATATATGTGTGTGTGTGTGTGTGTGTGTGTGTATAAATATAGTGTCTTTGCCGTCGGTGGCGCGGCAAGGGAGGGTCGTCAAGATTCTGCGTGATGTGCTCTGGAGAGTAGGATTGGGAGGTTCCGACAGTGATGTTCTCCAGACTCTGGATTTTCTCGCGCAAGGCAGCCGGCGGGAGAATCTGAAGTGCCAACCTTGGACTGACGGGTGAAGTTTGCCAATGTTGGACCTGTCAGGGGAGGGCACGCTTCTTGACAGAGTGTGTGATGGGGTTGTGGTTGAGAGGAGGAAGAAAGGAGGTATCTCTCTGAGGCCGAAGCTGTCAAAATGTACCAGGGACAGGGCGTGGGCCGATCGGGTTCCCATAACGAACAGGTTGAGGTGTTGTTGCCTACTCCACCAGCACCAGGCCCAATGTCTTGGGAGTCTTGGGACTCAGCGAACCGTGATCTGATGATTGAGGACAGGAACCCAGGATTGGTCTGCGAACGGCAGCTTGAAGGCTGTTGATGATTGATCTGGTGATGCCAGCCCGAAAGCTGATGATTGATCTGATGACAGATCTGAAGATTGAGGACGAAAAAGGGCGCCACCCGGCTTGAGAAAGTCAGACAGGCTGGAGTCGGCTGAGATGGGTGGAGAGACGCGACAACGCGAGGCAAGGAGGCGTGTGTCACCTTGGGCCTGTCAAATCCGTGTCAAAAAGCCTATCGTCCTTTGACATCTCTGTGACAATGTTAGCAAGGTTCAAGTCACGGGGTGTTCCAAACACTCACCAGGCTGACGTCCATGGTGGCTGTCGGAAGGGCATTGACGCGAGCTTTGTCATCTTCAGAAGCGGCAGCCCCAGGTCTGTTCGGGCACACCAGCCCTATCAGCAAAGAACAGCCGACCGCCCTCGTACGTTGAGGACACCGATCCTGCCTAGTGCTTTTGGCAGGCCTGTGCGCTCAGCGCCGACAAACGTGCGGCCGAGATGACACTCAATGACAGTGACATCAGGCGTACTCGCATGTTGACCGTGAGAAATTTGTTGAAAGGTGGAGTATATAAAATAAGAAGGGGGAATGTTGGAATGAACCTGGGGATTGATGTGACAAGGTAGTGGGACAACTTGTTATAGACGAGGGAGTTGTCAAGAGGCGAGGGGGTAGAGTCGTGATGACATGAGGCATGAAGGGCAGAGGTGGAGAGAACCGAGACTTGTTGACAGGAGGGTGAGAAGGAAACGATCCTGGAGCTCAGGTTGAGTCCAGGTCGTCACCTTTGATGATGGTGGGGATGGCAAGAAGAAAGAGTTGGATTGAAGAGAAGGGGAGGGGAAGACCCCTTTTATAGGCGACGGGGGTGGAAAGACAACAGACAAATGGCGCTAAATCCCATTCAAGAACTGTGAGTCACTGCCTTCAATGTGAATTGGACCTGGGCTCCTGTATTCACTTGGTTCAGAGGTGGCGTGCACGTGAGATGGGATTCACGCGGCTCAACTTCTCAACAACAACTACGCGTCGCGTATTTTGAATGTGAATAACACACAACTTTGTGCGATTGTTCTCATCCAATGTAAAAGCAACCCTAGCCCTAACTTCTTGTAAATTCTGAAGTTGGTGAATTGTCCTCTGTCAAGGGAGAATACTAGCTCGATATATGTGAGAAGGACGTTCAATGTTACCGGCGGTGAATGGGCAGTGATAGCATGTCTTGGAGCATACTGGACCCTATTGTTTCCCACCCTAAACTCCCTTGGAAAATCTGGTATCAAGTAATTGATGCCTGGGCTGTAGCCATTGGCAATTCCGGATCTTTTACAACAATCCAGCTGCATCAACATCAAAACCAGGGCATCACATTCACAGCCATTGCTTCCCACAATGGATTAGAAAAGTTGAGATCCCTCATAATAACATATGGCCCAACCAGAGACCTCGACATACATACTTCAACGTCTGCTTTTGCGTCACGTCCACTGACTGAACGGTGACAGAACCTGGTAAACTTCGGGGCAATTGTGGTGGGCACGGAAGTCAATACAACCCATCCCCCTAATTGGCACTGGGTGAGAGGGTAGTCTAGAACGATTTCCTGTTCTTAAAATAGCATATTACCGCAGATGCTGCGTGCTCCACGTGCCTGCCATTGAGTGCCCTTCCGTCACTGTGGTCAATCGACATCGGCCACACTGAGCAAAGCCTGGTTTGGGTTCTCGCAAGGGCCTGGCCGCAGCTGTTACCCAAGACGGAGGATGACAAACTCTTCCGACATCATTGGGTATGATTCCATCACATGTGTAATATCTCAGCACTGTAGGGAAGGCCCTGGATTCGAGCAGGAGCGCCAATCGCCCACCTCTCGACCGGGCAGGTGGTCTGGGCCTGCACCACCAGGTCTGCATCTGTCCATTTTGCCGGCATCCGTCTACCGGGGTCCTCGCGCGGGCGAGGTTGCACTGTCAGGACAACGCCAAATAACCCGATAGATTAAATCCTGCTTCTCGAAGCCTGCCACGCAGGTGACCCTCCCGCCTCTGCGCAAGTATTTCGTTGTTCTCTTCGATTCTTCTTTTCCCAATTTAACCGTCATGGCAACAGCACCAGGCTTCAATGAGACATCCGCACCGTCGCCTCCGGAGCCTACTTCAGCATGATCCAACATTGAAGGGACTGGTCTACCAGATAGCGGGCCCAAACGTCCGAGATTAGACCATGGCCTTGGCCTGCTTGGAAAATCTATATAATCCTTTCGTAGCAGCAGGCCGTACTGTTGGCCAGGATATATATCCCCTGATCGATGCCCTTCATCTTTTCAGGAGCAATTCAGCCGAGGCGAAACAAACTCACCACTGTTATTATTTACTCAATATCATACATATACCACCCACACAGACACACACGCAGATCCGTACGCCACAACCCATTTCTGCAATAGGATGAAGATCACCACGGCCACCACAGCCCTAGCCGCAACTGCCGGCGTCCTGCTCGGCACGGATGGCGCGGCGGCCGCAAACGCGCGCTTCTGCAGCTCGCAGTCGGACATCTGCTACAGCGAGTTCAACGCGGAAGGCCTCAAGAACATGAACGTCGTCTACCGCATCGCCACGCCGCAGGCCGCCCAGGCCGCGCCCTACGACATCACCTTCCAGATCGTGGCCTCGCGCAACATGGGCTGGGCGGCGCTGTCCTGGGGCGGCACCATGGTCGGCCACCCCCTGACCGTCGCCTGGCCCAACGGCAACTCGGTGACGGTCACTTCGCGCATGGCCAAGTGGGTTCTTGCTTTTCTCTCGCCGGCGATGTCAGATTGAACTGTCTGGCTGTGAATGCGGGTGGTTGACTGACTGGATGTGGTTGCTAATGCGCGTGTCAAACCAGTGGCCACACCTACCCCAACGTCTACAGCGGCGCCACCTACACGATACTGCCCGACACGGGCGTCAACGGCACGCACTGGACGCTCAGTGCCATCTGCCACGGCTGCAGCCAGTGGAGCACGGGCAGCAAGAAGTCCATCTCGCCGTACAGCACGAGCGTCCAGCTGGCCTATGCCATGAACAGCAACCAAGGCGTCGTAACCACACCCTCCAACCCAGCCTCGCAGTTCACCTACCACGATGTCTTCAACTACTTTAGGATCGACTACAATGCTGCCCGTGACCCTAATGTCGAAGTGTCGAGCTGATAAGGGGATGGAGAATCCAGGTTGCATTGGAGGAATTGGAGGAAGATGCAGTGAGAGGAGACATGCAAAACACCATTGACGAACGAGCGAGATGAAGGAGTACTGCTATATATAAACCATGCATTTTGAGGGTATCAGCCATTACTGCATCAAAGAGACAATATTCATTAAAAAATCCCACACATCACCGCATGACATCAATGTCCTCATAATTCTTCCCGCAGTCACACGACGACGTGCGATCTCTCACCTCGCCGGCCCAGCCCTGAGCCACTTGGTGCTCAAATCCCCGCCATCGTCGTACCATGTCCCGTTGCCCCAAAAGTACCGGTCCACGAGGCTGAAGTTGCCATGGATCAACCGGCCCTCGGGCCCGATGCCAAACACGGCTATCCACCCGCCGGGCAGCCACTGCACCCCCGCCGGCGCGCTGTTGAAGTAACCCCCGAGGTCCTCCCAGTCGTTGGCCCACACGCCGTCCCGCTGCGCCTTGTGCATCAGCCGGTCGCCTTTCCCCACCGCCAGCACGTCGATGCGGTTCGCCGACTGGATGACGAAGGGCGTCGACTCGAACGCCCCGGACCCGAGGCTCTGGGTCTTGCTGTACGCGCCCGACTTGTTCTTGGCAAAGGACCACTCGCTGTAGTACATCTGCCCGTCGGACCCGATCCCCACGGCGCCCGAGGTCTTGTCGTCGACCCGCACGATGGCCGGGTCCCCGCGGTACCCGACGGAGCCCCCCGGCGGCCGGCTGTTGCCCTCCCAGCCCGCCCAGGCGCCGTCGCGGTAGTGCATCCAGCCCAGGTCGTGCAGGCTGTCGGCGTGGCTGCCGTAGCTGACGACGTCGACGCGCTCGTCCGCGGGGCACAGCGCCGCGACGCCGGCGGCCAGGAACCCGCCGAACTTGTCCCAGGGGTCGCTGGCCGACTTGGAGCTCCAGCTGGTGCCGTCGAAGCGGCGGTGCGTCATGTCGCCGTCCGCGGCGGTCGCGAACAGCTCGATGTTGCCGGCGCCCCAGGAGCACGCGGCGGGCGCGTTGATCGAGTTGCCCTGCAGGTTCGTCCAGTCGGCCTGCCAGCTGCCCCTAACGTACGCCTTTTGCCCGACGGCGCCGTCCTGGAAGACGGCAAAGACGTGCACCTCTGTGCCGTTGACGACGACGGCGGCGGGCTGGCTGCCGAAGCTGCCGCCGAGGGACTGCTAGTCGCCGTCCTAGGCGTGGCGGCCGGCGCGGCGGTACCAGATGGCGCGGTCGCCGCCGAGGCCGAAGACGAAGAAGGCCGGCGCGGACGGGTCGGGGTTGACGAGCTGCGCTGTCGCCAGGGTGGAGGGGCAGACGGTGCCCTGGCAGACCGATGCGCGGTTGTCGGCGGGGAAGGTCGTAGGTGTGCCGAAGGCGGTGGCTGGGGTTGTCGAGGAGGGAGTTGGGGATGGTGTCGTGCTATTGTTTGATGCGGCTGTTAGTTGCGTTGGGCGTCGCACAACGCGCTTTGGAACGGCTACGTACGTAGGAGTTGATGCACCCTTTTTCCTCGTCAGAAGCCCGACCGTGAGGCCGACGACGAGCGCAATCACTACGATCGCGACGGCGGCGATGATCCAGACAAGCCGCCGCTTCCACCACGGCCGCTTTGGCTCCTTCTGCTTTTGCGTTTCCCAGTCCGTCGTGTCCCAGCCCTTGTTCCTAGCCATGATCTGCGACTCGTTCTCCCGCTCCAAAGGCACGCGCTCCGGCGCATGGCCCCCATCTTGCGCCGCCTGCCTCTCTCCCGGCACGACCTCTGGCAGGCTCGAGTACTCTGCTCCCGGAGGACTGACTGGCGATACGGGCTCCATAGCACAGCGTCCGGGTGGTGCCGTCTCTTGATCTTGGAATCAATTGACCTCGCCGATCGGCTGGAGGAGGACGAGGGGGGAGACGAGGAGGTACATATTCGAGCACCGCACGAGGGGGCCCGTCGCGCCTTTCGCGAGTAAAATCCATCGCATGTGCCGAACATGATTTATCACCGCTGATCTTTGTCGCGAATGAGCGACGCCTGCAGCGTGACCCCGGTACCCCTGGCGCGGTTGGGTGGCTTGGAGGCTGCTTGACAGCGGTTGTTGCGGTTTTGGACCCCAATGCCAAGCACCCCATTATCTCTGCAGCACCCTCAGCTCCCGGGATTCGTGCAGCGGGCACAGCCTTGCAGCAGATGTTGCATTGCTAGCTGTCAAGAAAGTGGCGGTGGTCAGCAATCCGGACCGACTGTTGACTGCAGTGCAGGGGGATCGGAGTAGCTCGCCCCGTTCCATCGAGAGAAGCGGTCCATACTGACACCAAAAGACCGTTGGGATCGTAAAGCTTGTCGGCGCTTGGGAGCGGTTGAGCAAGGCAGACTGCGCTTAGCGATGTGAGGTCCAGACAAGAGTCTGGTAAGCGACAGGGACTCTCTGCTGAATTGCGTATACGAGCTAAGTTGCATGACTGTCGGGGCAATTGGGTCTCCGACTTCACCTCTGTGATCAATCGGAGCATTGATCAGCAACATCCTGGCCGTTCTCAGTGCTCTCTATTCAAGTTGTTGTCCCGGCGGCCGGGTACACTTTCCGTAGCTCGTAATGACAGGCATCTTCTCCGGCCGTGAATACAACTTTCCTGACCATCGCAAGTTTCCTTCAGGAAACATCCCACTTTCAGCCAATAACATGAGCGAGGCACGTAAAACTCACTTTAGTTCGAATCATACGTAAAGTTTAGTGGAGAGTAACATTTTTCCTGGGACACAGCATTCTTTGTATCCATCTTTCAGTCGTCACTGGAGATGGAAACAGAGCTACAACTTTGTCATGTCTACCATACACTGTTACATATCCTTTAAGTCTCTTTCAGTAGAAAGGAACAAAGACTGGTCTGAAACAATGGCGATTCATTATTGATGGACGGTAAAATTCAATGTACTTGTAGAATGTACTTGCAGATGCCACTCTTTGACTAGGAACAAAGCCTAAGCGCCTCTCTCCTGGATCTCAAAGAGCTGCGGCAGCAACTCAGACAGCACCTCCCTCAGCCCTTGCCACTTGATCCCCAAGACCCTCTCCGTCTCGCCGGCATCCACACCAAAGTGCGAATCCGCCTCCCGCGCCCCCGGCGTGCCCCGCGGGATGTCGCCCGCGTGTTTCTTCCCCGCCACCTCGCGCGCGACGTCGGCGATCTCCTGGTTGCAGTACACCCCCGCCGCGAGCATGAACCGGCCCCCGCCGGCCCCGGGGACCTGCAGCGCCCGCACGTGCGCGAGCGCCACGTCCCGGACGCCCACCCACACGGGGCCCCTGGTCGGCGGGACAGCGCCGTCGGCGCCGGCCGACACGACGCCGTACACGATCTGGTTCGACGTGTTGAGCTGCTCCGGCGTCCGGGGGGCGGCGCCGGGGAGGAAGGCGCCGAACACCATGGCCGGGTTGAGGCTGACGAGGTCAAAGGTCGTCGCGGCCGAGGCGTTGTCCTCCATCCACTTCCACGCGGCCTTCTCGGCCACGGCCTTGCTCGCGCGGTACGCCACGGCCGCGGCGGGCGCGCGGACGCCGTCCTCGTAGGTCAGCGGGGACCAGTCCTCGGCGGTGTAGACCTTGCCCGGCTGCGGGCCCTTGGCGGCGTCGTAGATGCCGGCGAAAGAGTTGGTGTGCACGACGCGCCTCACGGTGCCCCACGACCTGGCGGCGTCGAGCACGGCGGTCGAGCCCCGGACGGCCGGGATCATGAGGTCGTTCTCCAGGTCGGTGGTGTTGTAGTGGAAGGGCGCGGCGAGGTGCAGGATGGCATCTGGGCCGCTGCTGGGCTGCTGCAGTGCCGAGAGGTAGGAGTCGACGGAGGTGATGTCCTCCACAACAACTACTGAGAGGTTGAGGTTCCTGCCGTGGAGGTCGAGGACCTGGCCGACCTTGGCCTGTGAGCGCACCGTGCCGATGACATGGTAGCCCTCGGACAGGAGGAGCGCGACGCAGTGCTGGGCGATGAAGCCATTCGCGCCTGTGACGAGCACACACGACGGCGGGAGGACTGGCTTAGGCAGTGCTGAAGGCATTGTTGCTACCACACTTGTCGGTGTACAAACTCGGCCTGGAGAGGATGCAAGTTGATCAAGTTCCCAGAAAAGGAGGCCATGCTGAGGCTGATGCTGCCGCGGTTATCATTAACCAGATAAAGACACGACGCCCTCCTCCGCAGGGGACGCATCCGACACTTCCTGTCGCATCTGTTCCCGTGTCGCGTTCTGGAATATGATCTGATCTCCGCATCTGCGTTATCTCGGTCAATATTACGGCGGGCGGCGCGCCGTCGGAAAGCCATGCGACGGATGCGGGGTGGAATGTCAGTGGGGCCGAGATAGCGAAGATCTATTGTCCGGGGATATTCGACTGTTCACGCCAAGCAAACCACCGCTGTGATACATGCATGAGAATTCGTTTCCCACGCGACGGAGGTGCTCGGAAACGATCTGCTTGCTTCCCATATCCGACTGCTATGTGCAAGGAGAGCGGCTAAGAGTTGCGCGAAACTTGGCGGTCTCTCGGCCCCGGAGCACTTCTTGGCTCCGAGACTGCGTATTCATCTGCTGAGCCATCTTTTCGAGCTTCCAATTCAGTGTAGACAATGCATTCATGGCACTGTTAGGGAGTGCCGAGGCATATGGTATATTCACAGCGACTCATTCAATATCTCGGAACCGATGGATCTCTCCCATAGCAGTCAAGGCAAAATATGTTATGTATGCATTCTTAAAAAGCCTAAACTCCAGCTATTGCCCTTCTTTTCAGAACGGCCGAGTTCTCATTCAGCCCAGCAAAATCATGTGCGTCCAGACAAGCTTGCCTGCTCAGAAGGACAGCCGTGCTTGTCCGCTCCCTGACCTCCGCCTCGTACTCGTCAATAGCTTCCCTCGGATCCTTGCCCTGTATGTAGACAGCCTCCAGCACCTTGTGGAGGCGGTACGCGTCCAGGATCCCGTGGTTCGCAGCCTCCCCTCGGTACATGGTCATGGCATGGGCGGCATCGCCGGCGAGCGTGACCTTGCCGTTGTGATTGTCCCAGGGCAGACAGGGCCAGTCCTGCAGGACCACTTCGATCACCTCTGTGCCGTCGGGGATGAGGTACACCGTATCGCGTAAGATAGGGTGGAAGTCGGCTGCCCGTGTCTTCATGTTTGCCAGTCGTTCGGCGTCATTTGCCTTGACCTCGTCGTCTGGTGACTTGACGGGCCACGATATGAGAATCTGTACGCGGTATCGCTCGCGATCTGTCCCTGCTGTGCCGTTGACCTGGGGCGTCTCGAGCATGCTAAACCAGAAGAAGGCACCAGTGACTGGGTGGCAGCCCTGGAACAGCAAAGGGTCGATGTCCTTGAGAGGCTTGACCTGCTCTGGCGTGAGGTCCACAGCGGCACCGGTGAAGCGTATTGGAAGCGGGATGTTCTTGTAGGAGTCTGGAGCCAGGAACTTCCGGGTCCGTGAATTGCTCCCTTCGATGCCAACGATGATGGATCCCTCAGCCCGCGTGCCGTCCTCAAAGATGGCTACGACGCCGTCGTCCCCCTTGTCTTTAATTGACGCAAGGCGTTTGCTCCAGTGCACCTTGTCGCTGACGCGGTTGAGGAGTACATTTCGCATCTTCTCTCTGTTCACCCGTCGGCGATCCCCGGGCGGGATGAGGAACTTGGGCTCGAGGGTCTCGAGGTTGATGAAGATGAACTTGCCCAGTCCCTGCCGGTCGGCTTCGGGGTCGACCTGGACGGACTCGACATCCCTGAAGGCTTCCTCTGAGAGCATCTCCTTCAAGAACGGGAGAGCCCAGTGGAGTGTTATTGCCCAGCCTTGCCCGCGAGAGCTGATATGGTCATCGCGTTCGTAGATCTGGAAGGGGATGCCGAGCTTGGAGGCCGTTAGCACCTCGACGACGGATTACATGATTACGGACTTGGGTCTTGCAGCCATACCTTTTGAAGACCATGAGCAAGCGTGAGGCCCACGACGCCGGCACCGATGATGAGGACTGGTTTGCGATCTCTAGACATGATGGTCGTCGCGCCCGACGCACAGACGATGAACTCTTGTGCGAAAGTGGTTCTGTCAACACCCAAGGGAGTGGGACTCGAGGGAAAGTCGTGCCAGGGCTGTACAGACTGGTGTTGTACTCAAGTGAATCCTGAAGAATGCTTTGTTTCTTGGTGAGTACTGACAGCTTACTTTGACCACGGAGGAGGAGGCCGGTCTAAACCCCGCATCATCTGCTGGGCAGAGCTAGACTTATCAGCGGGACCCGAACGTCATCCTTCAAGCTTGGACGATTCCGGTATCTCCACGATCCCACCAGCAATCATATGCGCCTGGATTATGATATGTAAGCTATCTGGCAAACACACTACCTAGCTCTGATACACACGATCGTCGAACAGACTGGGGAGCGCGGCGCGCGCTCTAGTGCGCGGTCAAGCCGCAAGATCGTCAGGTCTGGGTCTGGGGCTGTATCCGCCCTGCTCTCCTGTGGGGATACCTAGTCTAGATAGCATGCAGCTGCGGAGGCCTGGCAGACGGGAATGCCATCAGAGTGACTAAAGGAGTGCTTCAAGCCACCGTCAGTGGCGCGTTAGTGAAGCGCACCGCCCGTCGGATCCCCTTAGGATTCAAGCCTCATGCAGCCGTCGCATCGCCAGAACACCGCCCCACAACCCGCCCCCCCCCGCAGATAGCAAAGGGACAAGGAACCGAGATGAATGCGCCGAATGCGCTGGGTGCGCGCTGGGAAACACCAAGAGACACGAAAGACGGCTTGGCATCACGAGGCGGAGGGCCAACTCACCGCGCCGGGCAAGGGTATATGTCTGGCGAAGTTCATATCGCTTCCTCTTCCGCCTCGGTCACTCCTCTCTTGCTTCGTACGTTACGCATTTCCATCCCCCGCATTCTGCTCCTGAACTCTAAACACCCACCAGAAGCCAAAAACCAGACTCGACGGTCCCCGGCCTTTCTGTCTGCAGTATATTCCCCTCTCGAGCTTCAGCTCTGATCATCTTGAAGCCGCAGTCAGCCTCTAGACTCTCAAGAGACAGTACGAAAGGATGACCCAAGATCAAAAGCACGAGGCTCTCCAGCCCATCCACCCTTCCATGAAGGGCAAGCTGGACCCCGCCTTCGAGAAGCTGTACAACGACAACGTTGCCAACACTCCCCTCAAGCCAATCGACCTCTCCATCTTGAGATCAAAATACTCGGTGCTCTACTCATACGGCACCGGACCGGCACCAGAGGTCGCACGCCAGTATGATACACAAATCACAACGCATGAGGGCGTCACCCTAGATATCCGAGTCTACGAGCCAGATACCACCGCCGGCCCCTGGCCCGTACACATCGACTTCCACGGCGGCGGTTGGGGCCTAGGCGACCTCGACACGGAGAGCCACATCTGCAAACACATCTGCAAGGAAGCAGGCGTCGCCGTCATTGACGTGGCGTATCGGCTCGTGCCCGAGAACGCGTACCCGTGCGGCGTGACGGACAGCTTCGCCGCGCTCAAGTATGTATACGAGAAGGGCGCGAGGGAGTTCAAGATCGACCCGCGGCGCATCTCCATAGGCGGCGTGTCCGCCGGCGGCTTCATCAGCCTGGCCCTGGGCCACCTGGCGCGGGACGCCGGGATCCCGCTCCGGCTGATCGCGGTCGGCACCCCGGTCGTGGACGACCTGAGCCAGTACGCCTCCGCGGCGGACTCGCCCTTCCCGTCCATGCGGGAGAACGAGCACGCGCCGACGCTCAACTGGGCGCGGCTGGCCTGGTTCGACAAGCTGAAGTGGAGCTCCCTGGGCTCGACGCCCGAGGAGGTCGCCAAGAGGCGGGCGCGGGTGCCGCCGCTCTTCTTCAACCTCTTCCGGGCCGACAGCTTCTCTGACCTGCCCAAGACGCTCATCTACACGGCCGGCGCGGACCCGCTGCGAGACGAGGGCGAGGCCTACGGCATGAAGCTGATAGCCCATGGCAACGAGGTGACGATGAAGCGGTTCCCTGGCGTGCCTCACCCCTTTATGCACATGGATAAGGATCTCTGGCAGGCGAAGGATTTCATCTTGCAGACGGCTGCTGCTATTCGAGCGGCATTGCATGGATAGTAGGTTGTCATTTGAGCTTGATCGGTTGGTCCAAAGGACTGGAGCGACGATGCTGGGTGGTTGTCGTCATGATTCCTGGCGTTACTGGGCTTCTAGTGTTATGTTATATGAATAGAGCAATCAACTGTGCTGTGTCAGGAGGTCTTCATGGATATCTTCAGTTAGAGCAAAAGCAGAACAATCGGCGCAATCCCGAATGATGGGCATGGCCAGGTCCCCAGTTAACTCGAAGAGAGCATCTGACTGTGCGTGCAACTCCTCAAAGATGAAATGAACCAATGGTGACGGAATAAATCATATATTGCTAGCTCTCCCCCCTCGTAGAGACATGGAAACTGGGGAATAGTTTTGCACTATCCCTCATACTCACTAGCCTCTCGTCGATAAGACCCGCGTTCATCCTCGACTGGTCGGGGTTAGCAGAAACTTGGTGTGCGGACTAAGTCCCATCATCTCGGCACCAAAAGGACGGAGAAGGTCGCCCCCACGCACGCAACCTCGCCCTCACCTCAAACCTTCCTGACACGCCTCTGTCGTCACTCAAGGATCACTGCTCCAACCCTGATATCTGGTCGAGGCTTCGTTGTCTCCTGTGTCTCGACCGATGCAACCAGGCGAACATGGCCTCCTACGAACGCCGCTCTGCCGTCTGCATACGATGCTCCGAGATCAAGCAGGGCTGCCGGGGCGGCATACCCTGCGAGCGGTGCACTCGTCTGAGTCTTCCCTGCCGGCCTCGGAACAGTTCGGACTCTCCACCGTGCCGGGATAACTCTCTAACCATCGGTAATGAGCCGGCACAGCAACCCAAGGCGCGCATCCGGCGCGTGCAGACGGGCTGTCTGACTTGTAAGAAACGGAAGAAGAAATGCGACGAGAGGTTTGTTTGCTCTGTCCGCCTCTCTGATCTAACTCGGGTCAGTTGGCTGATCGATTGCTGTTAGGAAACCGCAGTGTGGAGACTGTCGGAGGCTGTGTATGGAATGCACTTGGCCTACCGAAAAGGCCCTCGCAAAGAAGTCCAACGACTGGGTTCATGAAGCATGGCCTGGAGTGAGATCAGTCACCAGTGTCACTCCTCCCAGCTTGCCCATCAGCAGATCCAGAAGCATCAGCCGTTCAGATGGCAGCTCTTCTACATCCAATCTCGATTTCAACATCGCAGATGCGCTCTGCCAGATGTCATCGACCGCCGACACCACCGTCGCTTCTGAGGCCGGCCAGCCGCAGGACCTCGGCGACATGTCTGTCACGGCCGCCCCGCTGCAAGACCTGGCGTGGAGCCTCGCCTCCGACTCCACGTGGCTCGACATCCTTCCCCAGACCCCGTCGATCGTATCCGCCCCCTCGCCACCCGAGAGCATGTCGCTCCCGCACCCGTCCCTCTGCCTCTACACGCCCAGCATCGTCCCGGACCTCACCTCCCCTTACGACAAGGCCCTGCTGAACCACTACTCCACCATCGTCGCCCCCGTGCTCTCGAGGAGCCCCAACCCGGACGCCAACCCGTACCTCGGCCACCTCCTGCCCATGGCCCTGTCGAACCAGCTCGTGCTGCACTGCGTGCTCGCCCTCAGCGCGACGCACTGGCAGCGCCTGCAGCCGCGCATGCGCGACCGCGCGCTCTTCCACCAGGGCCGCGCGACGCAGTCCCTGGCCCGGCTGCTCTCGCACGTCGACGCCAACCTCGACATCGCGCTCGTGTCGTGCCTGCTGCTCTGCATGGCCGAGCTGTTCGACGGCACGTCCTCGGGCTGGGAGCTGCACCTGCAGGGCGCCAAGCGCATGTTCACGACACTGCGCCGGCGGCAAAAGGCCGACCAGCTGCAGCGCGGCAGCAGTAATAGTGGCAAGCAGCTTGCCGGCGGGCACTACAAGTTCCTCGTCGTGCTGACGCGCTTCCTCGACAGCGCCGCCACGACGAGCACGTGCAAGCCGCCGCTGATCGACGAGCGGTGCGCGCCGGCCGACTCCACGAGCCCCGTGATGGACTTCTCCTCTTCGACCTCCGGCGGCCCCAGCTCTAGCTCCGGCCCCAGCTCTGGATCTGGCGGCCGCGGTGAAAGTAGTGGAGCAGGCGAGGATGCGGCCGTGTACGGCATCCCCAAGGAGCTGTTCCACCTCGTCGACCGCGTCAACGAGCTGGCCAGCAAGCGCGGCACCCGCGTCGACGAGGCCTCCGAGGCCGCCTTCCGGCGCGAGGCGGCCCGCGTGCGCAGCCAGCTCGACAACTGGGCCTACGACTACGGCGGCATCTCGGGCGCCGTGGCCTCGCTGTCCGGCGGAAGCGGCAACGGCAGGAGCAACGACGACTGCCTGCACGCCACGACGGCGTACGAGTGGGCGCTGCGCCTGCGCCTGCACCAGATCACCGAGGGCTACTCGATCCGGGACCGCGCGGTGGCCGAGTGCGTCGAGCACATCCTCGCGTCGGCGCAGCGCGTGCGCTACGGCTCCCCGCTCGAGAGCTGCCTGCTCTTCCCGCTCGTCATGGCGGGGGGCGCCTGCGACGGGCTCGAGCAGCGCATGGTCATCCAGGACCGGCTCATGGTCATGGAGCGCACCTGCGGCTTCGGCTACATCCACCAGAGCCGGGAGCTCGTCGAGACGGTGTGGAGCCGGCGCGACGGCGCGGCGACGGGCGAGGCGCGGGTCAACTGGGCGCGGATCCGGTACGAGGAGATGGGAGGGTTGGCGCTGTTTTGATGCATGGGATGTTCAGTTTGTTGTGAGGATAGTTTGTTGTGCAATGCAAGTAAATTCATACCACAGGCTGCTAACCATCATACTATCATACTATGTAGCTCTTTCTGCCGATCGCTTTAAGCTGCTGCCTCTCTTGATACTCTTACCAACTCGGCAATGTGAGCATGCATGTCATACCCGCAGACCTCCTCAATCGTCAGCATGCCCGGCTTGGTATCCTTGCTCGACCAGCCAATCCGTTCATTGAGATTCTCCCTCGCCCTCTTGCTCGCCGCCTGCAGCTTTGTCGCACGGGGCTTTCGCTCGGCCTCGTACAACCTGAGCCGCTCCTCGACAGACAAGTCCGCATACTTCTCAGAGAAGAGGATACCCAGCGCGCCGGCATCCTCGATAGCCATGCACGCCCCTTGACTCTGGTCAGGCATCATGGGGTGCGCGGCGTCCCCGAGCAGCGTGCACCTGCCCTTGCTCCAGTAGGGATAGGGATCGTGGTTATACAGACGCCACATCTTGATATCCTCCGCGTTCAGGAAGAGCGTGATCAGCCTCGGGTCCAGGCCGGGGAAGGTCGCCGCCAGGTTCTCGCCCGTGGTGGAGATGTTCCAGCCGTCCTCCTTGAGGTCGTTCTTCTCGGCCGGGTAGAAGCAGTAGCACGACACGACGTTCTTGTCGCTGCAGGCCGACAGCACGATCTTGGTCTTGTCGTGGTCGCCGCCCCAGAACTCGATGGCGTCGTTGTCGAGGAACTCCTCGAGCCCGAGCTCGCGCAGCTTGTCGGCGTAGATGATGCAGCGGTAGCAGCACGACGTGCTGGGCGCCACCTCCGGCACCACGCCGAGCTGCTCGCGCATGACGCTGCGGATGCCGTCGGCACAGACGACCGCGTCGTGCACCGCCTCGGCGCCGTTCTCAAACGTGATCTTCCCGGACTCCGGGTCCAGCTTGCACGCCCTGTGCCACGTCTTGAGCTCGGCCGGGCGGCCCTCGCCGCTCTGCGACAGCGCGACGCCCTTCAGGTGGTTATGCAGGTCTATGCGGTGGAAGTTGTTGTAGTCGGTGCCGAAGCGCTCGCGGTAGTCGCCGAGCGGGTAGGTGCCCTGCACGGCGCCGGACACGTACTCGTGGCGGATGAGGTTGCGCAGGACGACGGGCCGGGCGGCGGGGATGTCGACGGCCCACTCCTCGAGGAAGCGGGAGCCGTTGGAGGCGACGGACAGGGAGGCGCCGACCTCGCCGCCAAAGTCGTAGCGCTCGTAGAGGGTGACGCGGTGGCCGGCGCGGCGGAGGGCGATGGCGGCGGAGAGGCCGCCTAGACCGGAGCCGATGATGCCGATCGAGAGGGAGGACTCGGTGCGGCCAGGCATTGCGGCTGGGTTCAAGTTATGTGGTAGGAGAAGAGTGTGCAATGAAGAAAGGGGTACGCCCTCGGGCAACTAAAGTTGGCGAGAGTCAAGTTGATGACTACTGCTGTAACTGAGGGGGATTACTTGGAGGATAGGTTGTTCTATGTAAGTAGAGTGAGTGTGAGCAGCTTTCACAGAAGTGAGATAGAAAGAAATGATAGGTATGGCTAGCTATGTTATGATGTTATCTCCAGAGTTAATAAATCTTCAACATGGGTGAGCCAAAGTCATCTTTCCCCCAGCGATCTCCTACATGACCTGATCCGAATCCGACGCTTGGCTACAGCCAGAAATCGTAAACTGACCATAGTCTACCCCCTGATTCGCCTTTCAACCCGTGATTCTATCCGACGACTACACATATGCCATCCGCCAACCGCGCTCGCGAAGGGCCACCAGCGTCATCACGAACCCAAGACGCGGCCGAGGCCTGCCTACAGATAGGCTAATTCCCAGAGCGACGGGCGACGCTAATGTGATACCGCTGGCTCCACCACGATCCGACGGCTGCAGCACAGCATGAAGGAGAAGGGCAGTGATCCGAGAAGACGCTAATTGCCGCGCCGATATCCTCGTTGCTGGGAAGTCTTACCCCGCAGATTACCTATGGGAATGTTAACTTTCCTTAGCTCCTGTTGGCGTGTGACCGTGCGACTGCGACGGTATATCACGGCCTTATCAGAGGGCGTCGTGTTTCCCCCAAGGCCCAAGGCTGCCCTGCCCGACCATGCTGCACACCGAACAACCCCTGTCTTGCCGTACTCGGACTGTCAGGTTGGGTCGCACATGTACCTGATATGAATGTTGATATTCGTTCTCCCTGAAACTACTTAACATTGGCCTTCTCGTTCCTTGCTGTCAACTCGTTTCCACCGGGCTTCACGATCAGAGAGAGTTTGCTGCTTGCCACATCAAACCTTTCTCGCCACCTCCCTCAGTTTCATCAACTTGACCCTAATATCCCATCTGTTAGGCTTTCCATCATCGTGTTACAGGTATACCTCACAGTGGTAAGTGTATACTGCCCGTCCAGTGTATACTCGGCACATCTAACATTGGTTACAGAGAGCCAACAACTCCCAAGCCGTCCACCCCACGCCAAGACCCAGCACAAGCCTTACAAGCCATGGGCCTCCACAGTACGATGGAGAAGACGCCGTCCCACAAGCCCTCGCCCTCGGTCACCAAGGGCACCATCGCCCAGGACGACATGGCCCACAGCGCCGCCGCCCTCAAGACCATCACGCGCAAGGTCGACTACCACCTCGTGCCGCTGATGCTGCTCTGCTACTTCCTCCAGTTCCTCGACAAGGTGCTCATCAACTACGCCAACATCATGGGCATGTCGACCAACCTGCACTTCACGGGCAACGACTTCTCGTGGATGGCCACGGCCTTCTTCATCGGCTACGCCGTCGCCGAGTTCCCGCAGGGGTTCCTGATCCAGCGCTTCCCCGTGAGCCGGGTGCTCGGCATCAACGTCGTGCTCTGGGGCGTCGTCATCTGCTGCTCGGCCGCCGCCCAGAACTTCCCTGGAATGGCCGCCGCCCGGACGCTGCTCGGCATGTTCGAGGCCGTCATCTCGCCGGCCCTCATCATGATCACGTCGCAGTGGTACACCCGCAGGCAGGCCACCCCGCGCACGGGCATCTGGTACTGCGGCCTCGGCCTGGGCCAGACGGTCGGCGGGCTGATCTCCTGGGCCGCCCAGCACGGCACGCGCACGGGCGGCTTCGAGAGCTGGCGCATCATGTTTGTGTCTGTGGGCGCCTTCAACGTGCTCGTCGGCCTGTCGGTCACCTTCCTGATGCCCTCGAGCATCGGCGCGGCCAAGTTCCTGACCGAGGAGGAGAAGGGCGCGCTCAAGGAGGCGCTGCTCGCCGACCAGGGCGGCAACGGCCGCAAGGTCTTCCACGCGGCGGGCATCTGGGACGCGCTGGGCGACCTGCAGGTCTGGCTGCTCTTCCTCAACACGGTGCTCATCGTCATCCCCTCGGGCATCATCACGACCTTCTCGGCCACGCTGATCCGCGGCTTCGGCTACGACGCCAAGCAGTCGGCCCTGCTCAACATGCCCGCCGGCGTCGTCTCCGTCTTCTCCACCCTGCTGAGCACCTTCGCCATCCTGTACCGCTTCCCGCGCTGGCTCGGCATCTGCTGCCTCATGGTGCCCACGCTCATCGGCGCGGGCCTCATGTCCTTCTACTCCCGGAGCCAGGCCGGCTCGCTGGCGGGCATCTACCTCATCAACTTTGACGTGGCGCCGCTGGCGCTGGTCTACGCGTGGGTCGGCGCCAACGTGCAGGGGTACACCAAGAAGGTGACGACCAACGTCATCGTCGCCATCGGCTTCTCCATCGCCAACATCATCGGCCCCCAGACGTTCCAGGTCAAGGACGCGCCGGACTACATCCCGGCCAAGATCACCGTGTTTTGCGTATGCGGCGGCTCGGTGGTTGTCAGTATCCTGACAAGAATCTTGTACGGCTGGCGGAACAGGAAAGGCCATGTCACGGCTGGTGCGGATGCTGGTGGCTTTGGAGGCGCGGAGACGGAGGACGGGGTCGACAAGTTGACTGATAGGAACAACCCCAACTTCTTCTATGTCTATTAGTTTATCTGCAGCTCACCGCGGCTTACTATAGCAAGTACGACTTAGTGTAATGAGACTATTATTCATCACTTTTCCAGTCTATGAACATGAAATGTGTGTCCATCTTCTAATTACTTTTTGTTCCCGGTCTAGGCGTGCATCACCGAGATGAAGACCATAAATCCTGGCAAGCGTTCTTTTCGCTTACAGAACAACCTGGTGCTTAGCACCCTGCTCCTTCTCGTCGCCAAAGATGTTGACGTCCCACTTGGGGTTATCTGTGGGGGAAACAGTTCCTGTCAGCATGCATGCTACAACACAAGTCTATCAGTTCCCCCCCCCCGCCCCCCCAACAAGGGACGGGCGCGGGTGTGTCACCACTTACAGCCGGTGGGGATGTTGAACCGCTGCGGTTTCTCGCCGAGCTTGTTCATGGCCTGCACGGCCTCGTCGTCGAGCTCGACCTCCTGGAAGTTCTCGCGGATGCGCGACGCCGTGACCGACTTGGGGATGACGCTGTGGCCGCCGAGCTGCGACCAGGCCAGCACGACCTGGGCGCCCGTGACCGTCTTGCCCGCGGCCTTGGACAGGCGCTCGGCGACGGCCTGCGTCTCGGGCACGCTGACCAGCAGCGGCAGGCCGAGGCTGTTGTTGCCGAAGGCCGAGTAGGCGGTGATGTGGATGCCCTTCTGCGCGGCGTACTCGACGAGCTTGGGCTGGGGGTTGCGCGGGTGGCGCTCGACCTGGTTGACGGCGGGGACGACGCCCGTCTCCTTGATCAGGTGCTCGAGCTGTGTTGCCCGGGAAGGCAGGTAGGTTAGCGAGGGAACGGTCTTGGATCATCCTGGTTGTTTCGGGAGGTATTCAGCGACTCACGTGCTCAATGGTGCAGTTGGAGACACCGACGGAGCGGACCTTGCTCTTGGGCAGCTTGGTGACGGCTAGAGAAGGGGAAATGAGCAGGTTAGCGACTGTTGTCGGATGGGAAGCTACTCAGACTATTCCTTCGAGCCAAAATCTACCTACCCTTCCACGTCTCAGTCAGAGGAACATCGTCGACAATATCGACCTCGTCCTTGTTGCTGGCTGCGCGGGGGAACAGCTCATCGCCCTTGGCAAAGGCGACAGGCCAGTGGATCAGGTACAGCTATTATGTGATCGTTGCATTAGCACGGCTTGAATCTCAGCATTCCCTTCCGCTGCATCTAAACACATACGTCGAGGTAGTCGAGCTCGAGCTCGGCCAGGGTGTCGTCGAGGGCGGGCTCGACCTCCTCCGGGCGGTGCTTGTTGTTCCACAGCTTGGACGTGATGAAGATGTCCTCGCGCTTGAGGCCGGGGATGTCGGCGAGGGCGCGCTTGATGCCCTGGGCGACCTCGCGCTGGTTCTGGTAGATCTTGGCCAGGTCGAGGTGGCGGTAGCCGGCCTTGAGGGCCTCGTAGACGCCGTCGCCGACCTCGCCGGGCTTGGCCTGCCAGGTGCCGTAGCCCAGGGTCGGGATCTTGTGGCCGGAGTTGAGGGTGACGGTCTTGCCGAAGGACATGTTTGCGGTTGTTTCCGGGGTTGTTTTTGGAGGAGTATGTCACGAGATGACTGGGGACGAGAAAGAAGAATGGAATAGTTCTGGAAGCAGGAGAGGAGGCAGGATACAAAGTGGGAGGGTGAAATACCTCAGGACGGACACATCGTCATAGCAAAATGCCATGCCGCCATGCCGCGCCAACTCGCCCCGAGCGAACCCCGCCATTGCGGGCCCCGACCCAGGGGCCCAAGAACCCAAGAGGTGCGCACGGCACGAAAAGAACCTGGTGGAATCGCCATTCTGTGCCCCTCGTTTTAGTGACGAGACGGCGCGGCGTCTAGCTGCCGCCCTGGGTCCGCCGAGTCTCGAACAGTTGGCTGCTTGGCTGCGCGAGGTCGACATGTGGGAACCGTGGCGGAGCCGAATCACTTGGATCTGTCGGATTAATCAGACTCTGTCCCCGTTTATTCATGTTTAGGGCATTTCTCGCCGGATGAATCATCCAACATGTCTCTTCATCCAGGGGCAACAGAGGCACAGACTGTATAGTGTATGTGAAAGCGGAGTTGCCACTTTGGGCCAAGCATACCAGTCGGGTATGTCTCTCCCGGCCGATTTCGGTACATATTCGTAGCTTGCTGTCTTCGCCGACTGGTTAGTGATGATGGCTATTGTAATGATGCAGATATATCGATATATAAGACTGGCTGTCGTGCAAATAAGCATAAGAGGGTCGAGATCTTCGTCAGACTACATGCAGTGGGGGATTCGGCCAACTTCACCCACTTCTGTCAGCAATTGTAATGCTCTCTGGTGCAATTGGACGAGTTTCAATCGGCACAAGCTCTGGACTTTGGAGACACTGGGCTACTGTGTAGATGGCAGAATGGCAAAAGAGTTATAGTCAGACGCAACTATTGAGGTGACCACAGCTCCGAATCGCTTTTTGCCCATCCTTATTTCAACCAGACCGCTTCGTATTGCTTAGCAGCCGTCCGGATATCGCAATTATGCTGCTGGATCGAGGACCTGGTTTAATGAGACCCAGCCAAGAACGTACACCATAGTCCTGCGAGGTGTAACTCACTCAAATCGGCAGCGTGCTGTCGTTGACTCACTGCCATTCGAGGCTATTTCAGAGTAAAAGAGAGTCAGGTCGTAACGAGCCTCGGCATCATTCAGGTTCAGATTGAGGATCTGGCCTTCGAATTTTATGCTTGAGCTCCGTCGGAGTCTCGCCAATTTGAAGTGTGAATGCAAATTGTGCCTTGGCGGAGCCTTATGGCCGCTCCAAAAGTACCTGGGCGGCAAAAGTGCGCCTACGCCCCATCACAGAGCTGCCATGCTCAGCTATACACTGCCAATCATTATGTGACAGCCCCCTCCCTCTCCCAGTTCTGCACTCAGCCACTGCGTGCGGCATATTCTGGCCCAACGAGCAGACTCCTTGTCAATTTCTTTCCACCTCCAGTCCCAACTTCTCTTCCTCAAGCCTCTCACGTTTCCCAGAGCAGGCTAATGAGACTGATTCCATGCTCCAGTTCTTCTCATCGCTCCTTGTTTTCTAATGGACATCTTTTCTGAACAAGATGCAGCTGTCGCCGTTGCGGATGCTGTCGCTGGTGCTGTTGCTTCAAGCTCCGCTGCCGTGAAGGTCTTGAGCGAGCTCCACAACTGTCCACACGAAGTCCTCGCATTGGCAAACGAGCTGCGTGACCTTCAGTCTGCTCTACTAGAGGTTCCACCACTCACTGCGTTGTTCGCGAGCTGCGATGAATACTCGGCGGAGTTGCGTGATCTATTGCTGCCTGCCGGCTCAAGGATGATCCAGACTATGCAATCCCTGGATAAAATGGTTGAGCGACTGAAGCGCTATACGTTCAAACGAAGCGGCGTCTCGATGGGTCGCTGGAAGAAAGAGCAGGCTAACATCGACCTACTACGGGATCGCGTGAGGGAAACACAACTGACTATAATGTTGGTATTGAAGGGGGATCGGATTCTTAGGTGACAAGTCCTAGTATTACGAAGTACGATGTTCATCTACTAACTACCTTGCTAAATCCGTTAGGCTACTTGCCGCTAGAACCCCGGTTGATAAGACCGACGAGATCGACATCAGGGTTCTTTTTAGGGTACTTAACCAGGTTATTAAAGACCAGATCTACAGAAGCTTGGATTCGCTCAAATTTCGAAACTTGGAAGTCTGCCGGAACGGTACCTGCCTGTGTGCTTGCCATCAGAGTGATTGGGTAACCTCATACAAATCCCCCTGGTGGCTTGGACTGTTTGGATTTCTCTTGGCTCGCGTTCGTTACCCGCAGCAATGCACTGATTCCAATTGTCGGTCAATTCCCTTCGGACGAACCACACATTATACGTACTATTGCCCTCCATGGCTCTCCTCTCGGATGTTCCATTTGGTATCAAAAGGATCCAGCGCACACCTACGTGTTCCTAGAGTATTGCCATTCGATCATGCTATCTGGCACGCAATTCAATATGGTGATGCACAATGGATCGAACATAATTTTCATGATGGCACTCTGTGGTTTTCCGACGTGGGCGTGGTTGGTCAGCATTATTATATCTCCCTCCTCACAGTAAGTGGATTTTATATGATGCTGCTTCAGGACAAAGCAACTGATTCCTATCCAGTACGCCGTGGATTGCTTGCAACCCCGTGTAGGCTATTTTCTGCTAGAATACCATTACCAAGATTGGGTGGAGAGAATGTAAGTTTTGTCTCATTGCTCGTACCGTCATCGTTTTTTTAACTTATCATTCAGACCGACGGGCCAGCTTGCGAAGAGGAAACTCAAGGCTTCGTCACTCACGCTCACAAATCCGCAAGTAAGGGAATTCCTGACCTATGTCATGGAAACTTATGAGGACAATCTACGATTTGGAGGATACACGCCTGTCCATACCGCTGTTCAGGATGGAAATCACGTTAATCTGGTCCAAGAACTCATTCACAATCCCACATACCTCTCATACCTCGACGAGAATGGATACAGTCCGATGCATCTCGCCGTCTTGCAGAAAGATTCTACGTCCGTCAGCCTTATGTGTGATCGTGGGGCCGATCCTCAACTCCGAGACATTCTTGGAAACACACCTTTACATCTGGCAGTAGAGTCTGATAATTTCAATTCCGATGTCGTATATACGCTCTTGTGGTACGGTGCAAACGTCAACTGCCAGGACTGGAAAGGACGTACCGTAATGCACCATGCTGCAATGAATGGGAGCCACGAGATCATCGAACGTCTCTTCGACTGTGGTGTGGACTTGGACATCCGTGATGATTTATTCGGTCTAACAGCCCTGAATCTGCTTGTTGGTATCTCACCCGCAAGGTCGGAACACTGCACTACTCTGCAGACTTTACACCGCATCGGCGCCGACTTGGAAATCTCAGACGATGGTGACGCGACGCCAATCTTGAATGCAATCCGCAATCCAGACGGGACGGCACATTTCATCTACCTTGAGGAGGCTGGCGCTCGATGTGATAAAATCGATAGTCAAGGGATGTCGATATTGCACCGCACGGCCATCTGGGGAGACATTGAATTAATGAACTATCTTCGAGGACTATGCCGAAGGTCTGATGATCTGTACCAAACACCAGCATTTGATCCTGATCGAATCGATCGAAACGGGAATGGTCCAGCTGATCTGCTATATTATCGATCAATCGAGTCAAAAAAGTACTGGACTGCCCGCCGCCGCACTACGGAAGAGGAGCATGAGACGTTTCTATGTCTCCTATCCGAACTACGTGATCGTCGTTCTCGGTGTACTCCCACACTGGAAAACATAACGGAATTCTCCTGGTGCGATGACGAGCTTCACGACGAAGAAACATACTGCAATGCCTTAGATGTGCTTGAAAGCACCGCATCCACCTCGACCGACACGATCATGGGTGCACGTTTACCCGATCCTCCAAGCCACGATCCTCACGATCCTCACGACCCACTCCGTGGGCCGAACAAACTCCTGACCCGGGACGAAGATGGCGAAACGAATCCACCCTATTTGCTTCCGGAGCAAATATCAGTAATGGACCAGGAACCATGTAAGATTTATTTATCCGACAGCAGGTCTGACTAATTGTATTGACCGTACAGGTCTCGTAAACCTGGTATCGTTTTCGAGTCGCTGTGGACCTTGTAATGATCCAGATTCGGAAGCAGATTCGGAAGCCGGGTCCGACACCACTATTGCTGCAACATCTGCAACTTCATCCACGACATTGATCAGCCCCCCTTCTAGTCTGCAAGTAGCGCTTGCAAATGCAATTGCTCTACTGAACAAGGATCTAGGAGTTCACAACATCCTGCAGACTGCCGCACATCATGACTCGCTAAGTATCCCCAAGTTCGATCGTCACATGAGATGTGTTGTTTGGCGACTGGGTCAAGGTCTCGCGCACGACCCTCAACAAGATCCGGACGCGGCCTGGTTCATTCAGAGGTATTCAAACGTAATCTCGACGGCTCTAATCCTAGGTGCCCTTCAAGAAGCTGGCTCGATAATGTCACTCAGGAAAGCGTGGAGCATCGACGACGAAGAAGGTAATGGGCCCAGCAGTCTTGACCCGCTTCTAGACTTTGAGGACATATGCGACGGCCCAGATTCCGTAGTATCCGCAAAGGAATTAGATGATGGGGGCGACAACAGCACTACACCGCGACATCCTGGAAACAAGATAGCCGACTTTGCTAACGAAGAGCTCAAGGACTCTATTCTTGGCAGCATGGCTTTCCACACATTTCGAACTCGAATACAAAACTTTGTCCACCCTCCATTCTTGGAGACCGCTACGCGGCTTGTGGCATCGACATTGGCAAAATATAGCGGACCAAGCGGCGATTTACAGAAGCTCCAAACAAGTCTAACCTGTCTGATCGTGGAGCTGAATCATTCCACACCAGCTAACCTAGATCTAGACTTCAAAACAGATGTCTCTAAGGCAGATAGTTTAAAAGTCACCGTGGAGGCAATAACGAGGAAACTTTGGAACTGGTGGCCACTATCTCAACCACAACGCCGGCTTGATGCTGGACAAGTTCGGCTGGTGTGGACTTGTGTAAGTATTGATGGCTCTCTTCAGATATTACCGGTTTCTGATAACAACAGTCTTGTGGATCAATCCGTAGTGAGAATGTACCTGAAGATTTTGGCCGCAAACTCGCCGAATTGATCAGTATTCGGCCTTCCTATGCAAGCCCGACCTCGGAGACTCCTCCTAGAACATATACGGCGCATGGTCAAGGAGAAGAGGCCATCTCTGTAACCTCTACATTTGGAGGATCGAGTTCTTCTGATCACCTTAGCGAAGGATCTCACAAGCGCTCCGTGCCCTCTAGCGAGCATATGGACAACGACCGTTCATCCCCTGACGAGGATCAAATCAGACCAAAATACATCTTCCTCATGGCTCATATCGACAAGCTTCGCCTCCACCAGATTAACGCGACCAAAGGTGATACGGGCAACTTTGCAAATGACCTCCGCGAGGCTCACCGCAGGCTCCGGGGCTTCTTTCGGCACCACTTCAGTATCAACGTCTTCTCCTACTGCGACTTTGCCAAGTTTGAGAAGTTCTGTGCCTCGAACTTCTCACACCGCGGTGCCGGCCTGCCGCCAGAAACGAGCCCACACGTGAGTGAGTACTATTACCATCCGCGGCCGGCAGCCTGCCTTCCGCCCATCAGCCCGGAAGAATTTCGACACATCTACTACCACTACGCAAGACCCATTTCAGCTGTGGCTGTCAGTTCCCAGAGGCTCCCTTTTGCCGTCGTGGCGCAGGGTCCCACATGGGTGCCGCGGGTCTTCCGAGACATCCCCAGGCTTTTTGTCGCGTTGAAGGAGGGTAACATGCCGTCTGATACCATCCCAAAGATTCCACAAAGACTTCGGTACTTTGACGAGTCTGGGGCGGCCCGAGAAGAGCTCTGGGGCCTGTTGGTACGTGAAGAGAGATCTGCACTTATGGTGGGTGCTTATGTACTGGTAGCTCTTTCGCCCTGGTTTGTGTTTTTCTTTGTGTACCTCTTCGGTGTGGGTGGACGTACAATTGATCTTCAGAACGCGGCGACACCATTGACATTATCAATGACGTCTTTGGCTCTACTGATAGCATGGCTTGTTAAATAAAGAGAGGGATACCGATGTACATTGTTTCTCAACAAGATACTCGCTGAACCAGGTCAGGACTCTCATACATGTGCATGCATAACCAGCGAAGCAATATCAAATCGAGTACAAATCGTCATCATTGGTTGTATACAGACTTTGACATACCAAGCCATCTCTAGCCTGTGTAGCATCAGGTGCCTTAGGACTCCTGCATAAGCCCTATAAGTTTCCCTTCCCTTATATCCAAACGCATACGTCGGTCTCCTATCGTCTTCTTAATCCCACCGGGCCTGTCAGTGCCCTGCCTGGCCAGCGGTACCAAGTCATCTTCCAGCTTGGTGCAGAGTGGAACGAGAGGGTCAGCCTTCCAGACCCTGACGTTCAGCCGGTACGTGTGCAGCATCTCATAAATGAGATAAAGAAGCGACAAACTGACAAGCGTCGCCGGAAAAGCAATCCAGCCCCAGGTGATTCCGATGATCACTTGGCCCACGTAAGCAGTACCCCGGTACCGAGCTTCACTGCCACCACCTGTCGTGTTCATTCGGATCTCGTTCGTCATACTCCGCGCGACTCGCTCGATCCACGGATTCACGTTGTCAATGTTCCTCCAAAGGCCATCGGCATAGTCTGTGAATGCCTCCTTGTATTCAAGACCCCCGTCAGCAGAAGCGTTGCCGACAAACGTCTTTTCTGCGTAGTGCCTCATGGCAATCATTTGTGCATTTGTAACAGCATACTCGTCTGATGACGACACGTTCATGTCGGCCGGGATGTCGATAAAGGGGATTTTGCCACCGGCAGTTCCCGGGAAGTCCACTCTCGCCTTCGCCCAGGTCTTCAATACCGTGTCTTTCAGCACGCCTTGTTCCACGCTGACGTTGTGCGTTTGGAGGCAGTACCAGAGTGCACAGTCGGTGGCCCTTGCGTCGTCCAAGCCGGACGTGAGACTCTTGCTGTCTGGGAGCCCCAGGCCGCCGAAGTTGGCGATCAGAACTGGTGAGCGTGCGGAGACTTGCTGGTCGGCCAGCGATTCAAACACGCGTCCAGAGCCGTTTCCCATGGTGAAGATCTGCATGTAGTCGAGCATGCGGGAAGAGCAGAAGGCCCGCGGGATTTCCAGATTGCCTACTTTGAGGCTGCAATGATAATCCGTGGTAGACCGATTATACACAATATCGTCGGTAACATCGACGCAGGCCCCGCAGACTCCGACGGTGGGTATGATTGGCCAGGTGCAGTTCCCCGAAGGGCACGTAGCTGGAGGATGGCCAATGCTGTTGGACATGAAACCTTCGTAAATGCCAAGTCGGGTTGCAGAGGAAGGCGACCCTTAGGCGCTGAGTTAGCCCAGCAATCTAACGAGACATGGGAGATATGCAAGTATTGTCTCTAGACTTACATCCGTTGCCGTACCCTACTGCTGTACTGAAGAATTGAGTTCGAGGAACGTCGCCTATTGGGCTGTCAGGGCCTCCTGGCACTAGCTCAATCCTGAGGGAGATCAGCTGTTGCAAGAAAGTCTCAAAGCCTAAGGCTAAGACGGTGATTAAAGCGCCGAGATAGGCGATGTGCCTTGATGGGGTCAGTCATCTAGTTGGCGAGGCTCGTACAGCAGAGCGATAGACTCACAATGGCCAGTGCTTGAGAACCATCCGCAGACTCCCCGATGTACCTCTCGAAGCCTCGTCCAGAGTTGCAAAATCTTCGAGCTTGGTGCTGGAGCGGGACATTCGGTTCCACTTCGACTGGCTGATCGCCGCCGCAACCGCGGTCATGAAGGAGCCCTTGCATATAGTCGTGAGAATGGCCATCAGACCGTTGATAGTGAGTATGCCGATGGGCCACGAATCTTGAGGCTTGCCATCGTACGCTCTCAACACAGCCGCCATGGCCACTAGGGTAGCCACTCCGAGGAGAGCAGCGAGGATCTCCCACAACCACCATCGCAGGTATGGGACGTCAGGCTGCGTTACGTGGCCTCCGTCGTAATTCTCATGTTTGCCTGAAGCCTCATTTGTCCCGGATGTGTCGTCCCAGGTCGGTATCGAAACAGCCAACGGTAACAGCACGGACGATGGTTTCTCTTCGAACCTGGGCGTATCTCGTATTTGGTAAGTGTAGATCGGCTCGTCTTCTGAACTCTGATGATGGTACATGGTTAGACCGTCCACAGAGCTCACTGAGATCTTGTCTCTCCACTGGCTTCGCTAAAGATGAACAAAGGAAGATCGCAAGACTCTCGCGAGAGACGCGATTAATGAAGGATCGGGCACATCGGATGCTGTCAGCACAAAATGGGTATCCACACAGAGCCCCAACTGAACAAACAACAAGGGCATGGCTGACAACCCCACGCAGATGTGGATGTCTTTATTTTAGAATTGACATGCATGCCTACCTGCAATCGATCCCAGTCTAGGAAACAGTCTGGCCAAAGACCCGTCTGACATGCAGCGAGCCGAACCTGTTCAGGCACGGATGAGCCCGGGCCTAATGCCTATCCCTATTTGCCTTTGATCCTTTAACCCCTTTAGGTTGTGGCAATTCTCGAGACCAGAGGCGCAGCCGCTACCAAGATTGACAGGGACTTGGCAAATGCAGGGGGTCCAAAACACAGCCCTATTCTCTCGAAGATTACTTCCTGGTCAGTGTGATGCTCGGCGATAACTGAGAACTGTTGCGGCATTGCACTCCACTATCTCCTTGTCATCAACTGGTCACGTCAAGATGAGTGGGACAAGAGCTTCTCAAACTCCCACAAGTTAGTTAGATAAGCAAAAGAAAGACGATTGTTTGGAGCTCTTTTCGACCATTTCCGCTCTTTCCTACTATTCATTCAATACATGGTCAAACTTCATCTTTGGTCCGTCCAGCCCATAATTCAAACCGGTGGTATGGACTTACCCATGCTGAAGAACACCCGGCTCTAGAGCTGCACATGAACGTGCAATATAAAGTCACGATCTCATATCCCCTCAAAACACAAAAAGCAAGAAGAGATTCAGCCGTCTTTCTCAGGTTAGAAGCGATCCGGTTCAGTGTTAATTGGACGCGTATTCATCTATCGGCCATCACCCAAGCTACTGCATGCCATAACCGATGGCACTGGGTAGCCTGTCCAGCTTCTAGTATGCTTTCGATAGCCATACTGCACTTTTATAGACGAATAGCACCGCCTGCGCGCCTATAGCCTATGAAACGCCTATTCCTTAGTCCTTTCCCCCTCCTTAACTACCTTTAGGTCTTAACATCTTGTTGGGCACCTCGTCGAAGTCGGCTAGGCCAACCCACACGCACGAGCGTCTGATCTGGCCCATTGAGAGAGAACTCATACATGCCCCAAGGTTTATCGCTGACCCCTTCCCGCTCGAGGATATCGCTCGCGAATTCGGTGGCCAGGGCATCAACGTCCTCACGATGTAGATACAACCCGAATGGGTTACGGCCCGGTACCAGCCAGCCCTCGGCCGCAGGGCTAAGGTGGATGTGTCCCCCGTATCCGTCACTCAACATGCGGTACTCGTCCCAGCTGCTATCGTTGAGCGTGAAGCCGAGACGCTCGAAGAAGCGCTGGGCTGCGTCGAGATCATTGCATGGCAGGATCGCGGTCATTTTCTGTTGCATCGGTGCATGGACTGCGTCCTTGGTGGTATTGGGCGGGCTGGGGTCGGCAAGCAAGGAGTGAGAAGCGGCCTGAGCGGGTTTGGGCGATGAAGAGAGGCCGGTCATCTTTACGTAGTATATGGAAGCCACGTGCGAAAGCACAGTAAGGGTCAAAAGAAGATGTTTGATCTTGGAGATATCGAATAAGAAGGGTTTGTGATGGTTGCACGAGGTAGTCGTGTGTCGGACAAACGTTGGAAAGTGACGTGGATGTTGCTTCGCTGCGGCCGGGATACAACGTCCAGAAATCAAGGCAGATTGGCGAGGGAGAAAAAGGGGGAGAACAACATCTGGCACGATCCTGACACAAACACGCCTTGATATCGGGAAGCCGACCGGGAGAGAATTGCACCGGCGGGGCATAAGCAACTGTCGTGATGCAAGGCGGTTTTGGGGCCGGGCCCGGCCACCGGCATCGTCCACTACTCGAGACGCGGGCTTATTTGAGGCTACTACGCCGCCCACGAGAAAACCAGGTAGAAATAGGAATGGTCAGCAAACAAGCTTTAGGCACTGGCGCCAAATAGGGGCATCTATGCGCTATATTGAGAGCTGATCTGCACCTGAAGGGCAACGCCGTTTTCAGCCCCGATGCCTCGAATCCCTCATATCCCTCATCACTGTTCATGACCGGTGTCCGAACCCGATCAACTTTGACAATCTGAACAAGTGTCTCGGGTTGAATAGCGCAGGCAGTCTTCTTGCACCTAAAAGCACGCGCATAGCCTGACAGTATTTATTCCTAGGAGGATGCGTCACTGGTCCATACATAATCCCATCATGGCTTCGTTGCCCTGAGAACTTGACACGGAAGCAGTCCAAACTGCATCCGCATCCCCACCTGCTGGACTTCCACCGCTTCCCACCCGTGCTCTCGAGCCAGCTTTTCGTGCGCCTTGACGTATCCCTGCAGATCTATTATCACGACCGTGGCCCCCGGTAGGCAGACTCGCATGATTTCCTTCATTGCATTGGCCCTTCCAACACCATCTACGTTGTGAATAGCCAGGCTGGAGGTGACGAGAGAGAACGTGTTGTCGGCGAAGGGAAGTCTCTCGGTGAAGCTGGCGGTATGGAGAACAGTCTGGTCGACAACCCCCATAGCGGCGGCATTCTTGTATGTAGCAAGCGGTGAATTGCCAGACTGATCGCCGGTGTTGAATATATCAATGCCGTAAGCTTGTTCAACGCTCACCCCGGGTGCTGTTGATGACTCTGTGATCTTCTTTTTCCGCTGAGCAACCTTGAGTAGAACCATTCCTCGACCGCAGCCCACATCGAGAGTCGGCTGCTTGAAGAGGTCGTCTGGAAGGGCATCAAGTATCTCTGCCCATACTTGATGCTTGCCTTTCAAAGTCGCATAGAGGTAGAGAGGCGCCAAGATGTTGGAGGCTAGCAGACCCAGGGGCGAGTCGATGCCAAAATTTGGTGATGCTGGAATCGGTTCTTGATCCTTTGAGAGTGCGTAGGATTTGATATGATCCTCCGGCGGTGATGTGTCGGCAGTATTGTCGTAAATCATGATTGCGGAAGTAGACAGTCTGTGATGGACGAAAGACAGCGGTGACCTAAATATCATGACAACACCTGCATGAGGATGATGCTCCTATATATAGCGGCCTATAGCGCCCAAATCCCAAGTATTCTAGGCTCATCATAGCTTAGCATGGAACGGGGGTCTAGCGTTGGGTCAAAATCCGTCTCCGTTGGAATGCTCCGGATGATGTTAACCAATTAGCAGTGTTGCTGCATTCTTGATGGCGCCTCTCCTTGTCGAGTCAGTACGTACGTAGGTTCACGCCATGTGCAACTCGCAAGAGGCACAAGATCAGAGTGACAGCAGATGTTCAACAATTGAGCATTTCGCTAATGTAAAATAAAGACCAAGCAAAGTGTGCCTTTTAGCGACTGGTATGCAGTCAATGTATCGTTGTCTACGATTCGTGTCTGAGCATTTGTCTTCACAGCTTCCCCGCAACGGCTCACCATATTGAGGTACCCGTTGGATTGGTTTCTGGTTGGCCTCCCGCATGAGTGCACATATCTCGAGCGCAGCAAAAAGCAAAGAGCAGGGCTTGCACAAATGAGAGGACAAGATGCCAGTATCAAGTGCATGCATGCTGCCCCATGAATGTTCTCTCAACAAACTCTGTTGGATGCCATGTCTTCTTCCCGTCCAGGAGGTTGGCTTCAATATGCAGACTTTATAAGGAGATAGCGTAACAAGCAACACCATTTTTCTATCCATCTTTCCTTCTCATTCTCTCCATTTTCTATGATAGCAGGCCCAGTCTGTCGATGACAGTGCATCTCCAGCAAAATGACCAAAGAATCCTTCATGTTCCCTTCCCTCCACGGCTCAGTCCTTGCAGCTGTCTCTTTGGACCCGATTCCAGAGCCGGCATTCCATCCCATCAATACTGACGCTGGTACCACCAAGACCTGGTCGACCAACGTCTTGGCCCAATTCAGATGCCACCGCAAGGGCTGCGGCAACACCTGGACGAGCGGCATCGTCAGCACCCTGATACGGGCCTACCCTGGGGACCGCTACAACGCCGTCGTTTTCAACCAGCGTTGCCGCCGCTGCAAGAGTCTCGGCACGATGACCCTTGACGAAGAGTGCTATATCGAACGGATCGCCACCCGGCTCAAGGCCTGGGGCGGCATCCGCACGGAGTTTACGACGCGTAACGATAAGAAGACGCCACCGCACGAGTCGGACCTCTGCGAGGGATGTAAGCGTGGATACTGCCGAAAGGCCACACGACGAACGGGCATATTTTATCTGTGAGGGATGACTCGGATCGGGCAGGTGGGCATATCGTTTCAGGGCTATAATGAGTGCGGTGCAATGTAGACGAGGTAGTCATCAAGCTTCAGTACGTCTCGAGGGGATGGATTTGATAAGTGAAATGTGAGGAGATCAATGGTAATTCAGAATGAATATCAGACGTTTCATGCTGCATGCTGTTGACTGATAAGACGCGGTGCTGGAGCCGTAATCCTAAAACCAGGCAACCCAGACACACCCTCTGCCGCAACTGCTCTCCATCTCTGTCGTCCATGCCGACCTCAGATCCAGCCCATAAACCCGGCCGCGAACCCCAGAAGCACCGGCACAAAAGGCCATTCTCTCCACCCGCCCGTCTGGATCCCCAGCCCGCGGACGAGCACCCCGTCCGTGGCGGCGATGAACGCCAGGCCCGCGAGGCCCTCCGCCACGCGCCGCCCGCTGCCCGACAGCCAGCCGCTGACCAGCGACGCCGTGATGACGAGATTGCGGATGCCGATCACGCGGACAAGCATGAGCGCCGTCTTCCTGTCTTGCGCATCCGCGGGGACCCGGAAGCCGAGGCCGCGTATGGAAGGCTCGGGGCGGAAGACGGGGTTGACGGAGGAGAGGAAGACGGGCAGGACGCCGACGACGAGGGCGCCGCGGTAGAGGAAGGTGTCGCGCGTGAGGGGCATGGCTGTACTGTCTGCGAGGGCAGTTGTTATGTGAGATGGCGGGCGGAGTGGCTAATGAGGTAGGTTTGTGATTGATAAACACTCTTTGAGGTTGAGTATCCAGTGTTTAATAAAGAGACGAAACAGCCCTGCTGACCTCACATGACTGCCATGATTGCCAAAGGATCAAATCATCCCTGTCCTGTCTGTAACGTCCAAGATCGCTGATACTCATTCCAAAAAAGACAATACAGGCTAATCCGCACAAATGGCATTGATACGTACATTACACAGCCATCAAATCAAGCTCCTGGGCCCTGCCCTAAGGAAATCCGTTCACCTGACATCCAGATCCGACACGCTTCAACTTTCTCAGGCCGTGGCCCCAGCCCCAAACGCCTGCTGCAGACACTCGTAGAAGCCGAGGTCGGTCGTCTCCACGGCCGCCGCGGCGCTCAGCACGTCGTGGCGGCGCGAGCGGCACAGCGCCTGCAGGGCCTTGGGGAAGTCGGCCTCGGAGGGGACCTGGCCCCGCGACAGCGACAGGTCGACCGTCAGCGCGATGCGCACGTACGACTGCGGCTTGCCGACCAGCAGGTCCACCCACGCGTTGCCGGAGCGGTGGTGCGTCCCGACCGCGCTGCTGTTGCTGTTGCTGCTGCCCGCCGCCGCCGCCGGCTCGTGCGCCTCCGTCATGGGCCCGCCCGTGCTGGCCAGCAGGCTCTCCCACGAGCTCTCGGAGAAGGAGGGCGAGGTCGAGGACGAGCACGACGACGACTGGTGGTGCGACGACGACAGCATCTCGTTGAGCTTGACGTGGTTGACCGTCCGCTCGATGCACTGCAGCACGCTGTCGGTGCTCTCGTAGAGCTGGCGGAAGCCGCGCATGACGTTGGCGTAGACGCGCAGGTCGCGCCGCGCGTCGCCGCCGCGCCGGCCGCTGCTGCTCTCGGACTCGAGCAGCTTCGAGTCGAGGATGTGCCAGATGAAGGGGAAGGCCGAGAAGGCGACGAAGGTGTTGGTCAGGAACTTGACGAGGCCCATGCTCTCGAGCTCCATGAAGCCGTCGGTGATGCCGCGCAGGGACCGGTCCATCTCGGCCTGCACCTGCAGGCGCCGCTGCTCCTCGTTGCCGCCGCCGGCGTCGTCGTCGCCATCGTGCGCGGCGGCGTCGTCGGCGATGGAGATGAAGATGAGCTTGTTGCAGAGCGCGGCCTTGGCCGTGAAGTGGTAGATGTACATCATGTTGGTGAAGAGGGTCAGCGACTCGTGCTGGTGGTGCGCGCCGCCGCCGATGCCGCCGACGCCGCCGCCGGGGCCGCCGAACAGGTTGCTGTGCCGCGGCACCTGGAACTTGGCGAGCGTCTTGCCGTGCCAGCGGTCGAGGCGCGCGAGGCAGTCCATGGCGACGCGCCGGCTGCGCGACGGGTTGTCCAGCGCGGCGCCCGCCCGCGTCGGGTACAGTATGGCCAGGGCGTCGTTGAGCACGGGGCACAGCTCGGAGAAGGAGACGGCGACCTGCACGAGGATCTGCTTGGTGGCCGGGCCGTAGACGAGCGAGCCGCGCACCTCGTCGGCGAAGTCGCGCTCGGCGAAGCCGGGCAGGTCGGCGTCGACGTCGGCGGCGCCGATGTGCAGGGGGCGGCGCAGGCCGAGGGACATGATGCGGTCGCGCATGATGCAGCACCACCAGAGGCGCTTGAGGATGGTGGCGGTGCGCTGGGCCTGGGCGTTGCCGGCCGGGGTGCCGTCGCCGGTGCTGCTGGCGAAGGTGTCGAAGGTGTCGGCGCGGGCGCTGCGGGCGAAGTGCACGGCGGTGCTGAGCCAGTAGGTGCTGATGGAGGCGTTGGTGGTCGGGGCGTGGTAGGTGAGCATGAGGGCGCCCTGGGCGCTGATGATGTCGTCTCGGTAGGGGTCGGTGTCGAAGAGGGCCTATGTGTGTGCGCACGGTCAGAAGTGCTGTCCCTGAGTGAAGAAGTGTGGTCTCATAGATAGATAGATAGATAGAGAGAGAGAGAGAGAGGCGCCTCGCTTGCCAGAAAACTCACCTTGGCTTTTGAGTAAAAGTTGTTGCGGGCTTGCTTCACCGTCGCGAAGCCGAGTGTCCTCAGTGTCTGTAATTGAACATACTGTCATGTCATGCATTCATTAGTCTTAGGCCATACATAGTCTTCCATCCACATGTGCTACTCACCGGACTGGCAGTGAACAGCATCGCCTGCATCAGGAACAGCGGTATCCGAGCACCACCGGGCGTCCTGGCCGAGTAGGCCGTCCAAAAGTCGCGCTCGTTGAGGAGCGGGAAGATGGGGTGGATGTGGAGGAAGTACTGCTGCATGAACTCATCCAGGATAGTACGCGTAGGGATATGAAAGCACCCCTTCTGCTCGAGAAATGTGGCATCCTCAGGCGGTAGGCGGTAGAGAGCATCGGCCTCGATGAAGGGGAAGCACGAGAAGAGCATGAAGGCGCCCGGCCGGGCAGTCAGGGCGGACTGGAAGGGCGGAGCGAAGATATCTATGATATGCCGGGTCAGGATATCAACCAGTCAGGTAGTTGTTAGGCAGTAACAGGAACTCACCACTGCTCTGCTCCTTCTCGAGGCTAAAGTTGGAGAACTGAAAGTCGTTGTCCGGTCTGTCCTCGAGCCTCCCGTCTAATGAATTCAGGGAGTCATCCGTCAGCGAGGTCAAAAAGTCCTCTGTCTCGCCGACGCCTCCGGTGGCTCCGGTGCCGCCAAGCTGCAGATCCGGCCCTAGGAAGAATGACGGCTCCGAGGCCGTGATCTCGGCCCGGAACGAGTTATCGATGCCAATGGACGGCTGAGTATGCTGCTGCTGCTGCTGCTGCTGCAGGACCTGCCCGCCGTCAGCGACGAGGTCGTTGATCAGCGAGAAGGCGTCGCTGATGGGCATCTGCTGCTGGAGGTGGTGCGTCTGCTGCGGCGGCGGCGGCTGCAGTTGGTGCCGTTGCGGCGGCGGCAGCATGGGCGCGAGGCTCTTCTGCTGGGCGACGGCGGCCTCGGCGGCCATGGCGGCGGCGAGGTGCCACTTGCGGGTGCGGGGCTTGACGACGCACTCGACCTCGTCGAGGCGGCAGTTGGTGCAGGGGGCGCCGTGCAGGGCGACGTTGCACCTGACCTTGCGGGCCCGGCAGGAGAGGCAGGCCCGGGCGGAGCGTTTCTTGTTCGGCGCAGCCGCCGACGCCGACGCCGACGCTGCGCCTTTGCCGCCGAGGGCGGCATCGTCCTTGGCCGGGCCGTCGCGGCCGCCAGCTGGGCCCGGGGATGAGGCCCGGTCGGAGCCGGGGCTGTCGACGTGAGCCATGCGGAATTGGATCCCGGAAGGATCGGCAGTTGTGTATATCGAGCTAGTTCCAGATGCTCGCCAAGCAGAGGAGAGCAATTGCGGAGAGCTGTCTGTGCTTCATTCACGCTGGGGCGAGGGAGAGGCGAAGAAAAGAGGAAAACGTTAGCATGATCTCAGCCCTACCCGGCTGAGGTTCCTTTGAGTGCTTTCTGGCTGGCGTGCTTCGGCTTCTCTGGGGTAGCACGACAGTTGGTGATATACTAAGCAAGGGTTTTCTCTTGGTAATTGGCGTACGACGGGGAGTCGACTCCGTTCATCGGGAACGGTCCGGGTATGGTGTTCGCCTTTGCTTGGCGTGTCTTCGAGTCGGTCCCCTTTCCAATTTTCCCCCCAATGACTGGGATGGATCTCGAATGCTTTGGCCTGGGCGAATCAGAGCGTCATGCCAGCCCATCCGACTGCGGCAATTGTCGGCAGCGCACGGCCAATCTCGGCGCCTTTTGTGGTAATTCAGCCCCAACACGCCCAACAAGTCCAGGTAAACTAGGTAGGTAGGCACATCTTTTAGGCGTTGAAATACGCCGGATGGTGCTTCGGAGGGAATGTCCGAAGATTCGGTCCTTTAGATGTCCGTTCAATCGATCGCGGGTTTGCTGGAGGTCACATCCGAGGAGGATGTGTTTCACTGTGAGAGATGCTGCTTCGACCTCGCTCCAGAAGCCCGAGGTAGCTAGTTGTGCATATTGCTACATCACTTATGATACAGAATTTGCTTTCACAGCTCGTCTTTGGCGGCAGAGACGGATTCCTTGGCGTCTTTCGTCTTGCCATCATCACCATCCTTTGCCGCGTTCTTCTTCTGCTCCTCTTTCGCGTCCTTTGCGTCCTTCTCCAGCTCCTCGACCAGGTCGACTCGTTTCCCCTCCTTGGCCTTGAGCACCTGGGCCTTGATCTTGATCCTGATTTCCCGCCTATCATGTCGCCTGTCGGGAGGCGTGTGCTGGATGGGCCAGGCCACGACGGCGCCGTCCTCGGCCACCGGCTTGTACCTGCTTAGGTCCTTGAGCGCGGCTAGGTACCACAACCAGCATGTTAGCTCCAAGAAGCATTTCCGATCATTCCCATCATTCGGGGGGCCAGAGCGTAGTTATGCGCGGAGTAGAAAGCAAGAAAAACTGACCTTGGCACTTGGACTCGTCCGCCACCCAGAGCGGCAGCACCTCGTACAGCGCCCCGGCCGCGAAAACCATGACCTTGTCGCCCCAGTCCTCCATGCCGTCGCTCTTCTTCTCCTGGCCCTCGGGCGGCTCGGGCTCCGAGTCGGGCGTGTCGCGGTCGTAGACGCCGAACAGGCCCCTCTGGCGGCCCTCGTCGCTGTCGATCCACTCGCGCACGGCGGGCGGCACGTCGGCGTAGTCCATGACCAGGACGGTGCGCAGGGAGCCGTGCGCGTCGCGGCCCTCCCAGGAGCCCGGGAAGGGCCGGCCGCCGAAGAGGTCCTTGAGCAGGTTGGCCCAGGGCTTGAACCCCTGCGGCGGCGGGGTCATGTGGTCGCGCAGCGTGTGCTCGCGCGCGTAGTAGGTGCCCACGACCTCGCAGGCGGCCTCGTAGCCGGCGGGCGCGGAGAACTCGTCGCCGCCGTGGCCGACGAAGGGGTTCTTCCACCTGAAGCCCTCGGCGGTGGTGACGGGGACCTGGGGCTCGTCGCCGCCGCGGAGCTGGACGGCGCCGGCGCCGGCGGCGAGGAGGAGGCAGCCGAGCAGCGCGGCGGCGGGTGTCGCTTTCATGGCTTTGCGGTGGATCAGCGACAATCGTGTTCTGTTCTTGTTTTATGTTTATTTTTAAAAGCAGCTCTTGTCTCTCGGGATCCCGATTTGACGCCGCGAGGGCGTGTTTATTAAATTGAGGCCCCGAGAAGTTGCATTGTTGGCCTCTTCTGGTGCATGAAACTCGGGGGTGCAGATTGCGGCGGCTTGCTTCCGTGTTTACATGCGGGATGGTGGGATTTAGCCATTGCCCGGTAAGGGGATCGATCTTCCTCGCGGGTTGAAGAGGGGCCTGTTGAACCTGAGATGCAGCGATGCACACTCAGAAACTCGAGGGCAGGATGTCCGTTGTGATGACTGCTTTTGTAGGGAGTCCATCTCATCAGTCAACAGCTTGGGATACTTGTTAGATCTGGCATGTGTGCATGTGGTCTTGGCCTGCCTCGAGATGGCGGCGACGACAACATTTGGCATCAGGCACGGATCAACACGTTTAGTACTTTGAGGCCATCTGGCAGGAGACAAGCAGGAAGTTGAACCTTCATGCTATCCTCGGACGCTCTGTTGTTTCTGGTGATGTCATGCAACGTCGGGAATGCGGCTCACTCGAACAGCACCTGCACCCACCATCAGCAGGACATCTGACGGTATGCCGCCTCGGATCGCGGCTATCGTGGTGATTTATCAGATCTGCCATTGCTTTGCCCACAGCACTACCTACTATCAGGCTGCTCAATATGATATAGGCCTACCAGTTGACACATGTCAGTCGCGGGATTGGGGGCTGTCTTGGTGTGATTTGCCCTCCCTCGGAGTCTTCTCTCCACAATGGCATTCTTCTCTAGATCAAATCGGAGAGGAGACAAGGAGACAAGGAGACAAGGAATGGGTGTGCCCAATGTGGACCCCCGCCTCGATCGATGTCGCGTGCAGGAGAATCTAGGGTCTTCTGTCCATTCCTCGCCCCCCTCGGAGGCTCTGTTTCAGGGCCACTCCCATCCGGAGAGCAGATGGGAAGGAGGATAAGCCAAGTTGCCTGTGGGTGATGCCAGATGGATTGGAGGCGTTTTGCGTGTACAGTACAAGCACAGACCTCCCTGCGACCCTGGCCTGGCGTTTTCTCTGGGTTGTTCCGCGCGATGGATGATGGGTGGACGGCGGATGGGATCGTGGATCTTCCCGAGCGTGATGAGATTTGACCAGGCCAAATTGTGCTGCTGAAGGAAACGTGACACGCAAGAGCACAGGCTGCACAGATAAGACACGCGGGAGGAGTACTTGGCCCTCCCGGCTGATCTTGCTGGCGGCTGGTGGCGGCTGCAGGTACCTTGCCTAGGGCACCTAGCAGCTGGAAAACCAGGCTTGGAGAATCTCCATGGTGCTAGGGGGGAGGGGGGGGTTCACTCAGGCAGGACTTAAAGGGGGCCGGGGCCTTGCTAGGGTGCTCGAGGGTACTGCTCAGGGGATTGTTACTGGCTGCAGCCAGGGCTCTTGGGCAGCAGCGCGCGTGGCAGCGGTCCCGCAGTCCAATCCAGCGCCGGCTGGATCCATCTGTGGAAAATGCGCAATCTCAAATCCGGGATATTGTCATCAAATGCTGGCTGCTTCACCTGTGCTCTCTGTGCTGTGCTGTGCTGTGCTCGCTCACTCTTTTCTGCACAACCACACGCCGATCCGAGATCCATCTGCCTCCGTGCTCCCACACACCCCTCCCTCCTTCTCCCCGTCTCGTCGGACTGCCGACTGCGACTGCGATCACTCCATCGTCGACCAAAACACGACCCTTTCTTTTTCGGTGGGCTCATCTCCTTCCACGCCCCAGTGCAGAGAGATAGAGAGAGATTCACCGCTGTACAAGGTGAGTTCCTCTGCCTGCTTGCTCCCCAACCGCCTCTTCATCTGTCCGTCGACACCTCGAACGCCTCCTACGCGCAGTCCCGACCGACTGCAGCCAGCCTTGCGCCCGTCTTGAACCGGGCGACCGATGCGTCAGCTCAGCAGCTCCCAGCTCCCAGCTCCCTGCTCGACGTCGGGAGCCGCTTTCCATCGTCCATCGACCATCGTCCCCTTCACCCGGATCTGCATCCTGTGGGGAAACCCTTGACAGCTGCAGTCATTCGCGGGATTCGCCCTCCTGGCGCTGCACAAGGCACAGGATTCACCTGTTTCCCCCCTTCTGGCGCTCGCATTCTTACATCATCACAAGCACACAAGACCACAAGACAGCTGGCTGATCGTTGACCACGCTCCACGCTCCCTCATCTGAGCAGATTCTTCTAGACCATCCATTGAGATACCCCCCTTTTCTATCAGCGACTCGCTCACCGAGCATTTGCATACTGGCATACCCTGGTTTTCTGGCATTCATCATACCTGCACATCGCAAAACGCTGGGTCCGTAATACCAAACTCCGTCGACCGATCTCGAACTCGACCACGACCTCGACCTCGACCTCGACCTCGGCATAGATCTCGACAACCATCCATCTTCTTCTTCTTCGCCACCATCCTGCGGCCTATCATATCCGCATGCACACTCCGCAGAGCCTTGTCTGCACCAGCCATCGCAAGCACAGCCCTCCTCCCCAGCCCTGGTGTCCGCCGACCAGTGCTGTAACCTGAGGCGCCCACACGACCTGCCAAGATGTTTTGGAGATTTGGCGGCTACGCCAACATATCAGCCATCGACAACATCCTCGACAAGGCCGAGTTCACCCTCGAGGAGCTGCTCGACGAGAGCGACCTGATACAGGAGCTCAAACAGCACAACGGCAAGCTCCTCGACTACCTGCGCCAGCGCCAGGTCCTCGAGAAGCTGCTCGAGTATGTCGTCGCCCCCAAGCTAGAGCCGGTCGCCGTCCCCGACGACGACGAAGACGGAGATGACGAAAAGGGCAAGGGCCGCTCCCTGCCCTTTGGCCGCTCTCGCTCCTCCTCGCGCGCCACCGATGCCGGCAACGAAGAGGAGGAGGCCGAGAAGAAGCGCAACAAGTACGCCTACGTCGCCTGCGAAGTCCTGTCCTCGGACAACTGGTCCATCTGCGAGGCCCTGATGGAGCCCTCCTCCCGAGATCTGCTCCAGAAGTTCTGGACTTTCCTCGAGCGCCCGACACCCCTCGACCCTCTGCAGGCGAGCTACTTCACCAAGGTCAACGAATCCTTGTTTGACAAGAAGACGGAGGAGATGATCGACTTCCTCAAGACCATCGACGGCGCCATCCCCCACATGCTTCGTCATGTCGACTCCCCCATGGTTATGGACCTGCTACTCAAGATCATCAGTCTCGAGCGGACAGAGAGCGGACAGGGTGTTGTCGAGGTAAGTTCCAGGAGCCTCGGTTGTGCTGAGAAACCTCCATTTGGTTCAACATTCTAACTCGCCCCCCGTAGTGGCTCTATACCCAAAACCTGATGCCCTCGCTTCTGGCCTTCCTCGACCCGAAATACAGCTGGGCAACCCAGACCTCAGCTGGCGACTTTATGAAGGCCATCATCACCGTCTCCGCCAATGCCTCCCAGAACGAGCAGACCTGCATCGGCCCCAACGAGCTTACGCGACAACTCGTCTCCCGCCCCTGCGTACAACAGCTCATAAATTACATGCTTGGCGGCGGCAACGCCCTCACCGTCGGCGTTGGTATCGTCATCGAGGTCATCCGCAAGAACAACTCTGACTACGACCCGGACGTCGGCACAGAGGCCAACTCGGCTCCCTCAAGTCGCGACCCCATCTACCTCGGCACCCTGCTGCGCATGTTTGCCGACAACGTCCCCAACTTTATGGACCTGATCATGAACGCTCCCGCACAAAAGGCGCGCCTCGAGTCGACCTTTGGCGACAAGATCGAGCCGCTCGGCTTCGACCGCTTCAAGACGTGCGAGCTCATGGCCGAGCTGCTGCACTGCAGCAATATGGGCCTGCTCAACGAGGTCGGTTCCGAGGGCCTCATCGCCGCCCGCGACGCCGAGCGTCAGCGCCTGCGCGAGGAGGGCAAGCTCGAGATGCCGGGGACTGGCCGCCTCGACGAGATGCCTTCCAGCTCGGAGGAGCTGACGATGCGGATATCCCACCACTCGTCGCCCGCCGACGAGGGTCGCCGGCTCGAGGTCACTAACGTTACCGCCGTGCCGGACGACGACGGCTTCGAGGAGGTGCCCGCGCCGTCTTCCCACGGCGGGACCGGCGCCGAGGATGAGGACACGTCGCACGAGTTCGTCAAGGCCGAGGACGAACTGCCGAGCCGCGCCAACAAGCCCATGCCGCCCTCGTCATTTCTGGACAAGGACGACGAGGACGACTTTGTCGACGAGCCGCTTAGCTCACCGAGACTGAAGGTCAGCGACGACAAGGTATCCACAGCAGCAGTGCCGGAGGAGCAGCGCCAGTACGACGACCCGGAGCTGGTGGTTGCGCCGCTTTCGCCTTCGAAGCGGAAGCCCGAGGCTGCTCCTGCGGCTGATGCGGTCGTCGAGAGCACAGCCGAGACAGCGGACGGGAACCCCGAAGTTGGAGAGACAGCGGAAAAGATCGAAGAGCTCAGCTTGGAGGACGCCAGGCCTTCGCCATCCGAGGCGTCTATCGACACGGAAAGGAGCGAAAAGACGGAAGCCAAGGAGGGTGAGGCTGCAGAGCCGTCTATCACATTCACGCCCACAGTATCATCCATTGTCACGGCTGTCGAAGATGTCAAGAAGTCCGAGGAGTCTACTCTCCATCCGCAAGAAGCACCGGCTTCGTTCGAGAAAGAGCTGTCTCCTCACCCGGAGGACCTGCCTGCTCCTCTGTTCTCTTCATCCCCGGCCAAGCCTGCCGCCACCTTGGCTACACCTGCCGAACCTGCCGAGCCCATCCCTGTCCCCGCCGTTGATCCTGAGAAGGATGCTGCCGACGTGGACCAGGGCGATGTCTCTATCATCGTTGGCCACCAACCCGAGGCGCCGCCGGCACCGTCGGCGCCCGAGGACCATGTCGAGCCCGTCGTGGGCGACTACCTCAAGATGCAGTTTGTGCAGCACCGCGTGGTCCCCACCATCCTGTCCTTCTTCTTCAAGTACCCCTGGAACAACTTCCTGCACAACGTCGTCTACGACATCGTGCAGCAGGTCTTCAACGGGCCCATGGACAGGGGCTACAACCCGAGCCTCGCCGTCTCCCTGTTCGAGGCCGCCGACGTGACGAGCAAGATCATCGAGGGCCAGCTGGCCTCGGAGCAGTCCCAGGCCGCGTCCAAGACGCGCATGGGCTACATGGGCCACCTGACGCTCATCGCCGAGGAGGTGGTCAAGTTCACCGAGAGGCACCCGCCCGAGCTGCTGTCCGAGACCGTGCTGGACAAGGTGATGGCGCAGGACTGGATCAACTACGTCGAGGGCGCGCTGGCCGAGACGCGCGAGAGGGACAACGCCATCCTCGGCGGGGTGCGGCCCGAGGTCGCTATGAGCAACCGGGCTGCCGGCGGCGGAGGCGGCCTGGCGGGCGTGGGCCTCACCGGCCTGGGCTCGGCGCTGAGCCTCGGCGGCGGCGGCGGCGGCGGTGGTGGGGGGTCGAACGCGCTGGCCGAGGCGGGTCTCAACGGCGGGAGCCTGAGCGACATGCAGGGCGGCAGCGAGAGCAGCTCCGCGGGCCCGTTCTCGATCAGCGCGGGCATCTCGTCGAGCTTCCACAGCTCGAGCGACGAGGAGGACGACGACGACGTCGGGGACGACGAGGACATCAACAGCGAGGTTAGTAGAGGGTTCGATTTCTCTAGTCGGGTCCCTGTGGACATGCGGAACTGGGAGGACCTGCGCCTGGACCCTAGTGGGGATCCGGACGAGATGGAGGTCGACGAGGAGGACAGCGTGATGCTGGACGGCGTGGGATCTGGATCCGAGGACGAGGGGCCTGAGACTGGGACCGGGACCGGGGAGCAGCTGGAGCACGGAGCGAGCGATTCCGGTCACGCGGAGACGAGGAGGCCCGTGTAGGACACGTGCGCCCCGCACGACGAGGATGCCGAGGACCAGGACCAGGACGAAGCCGAGTACGAGATGGTGCCGCAGCTTTCCGACGCCGAGCTGGGGCTCTCCGGGCGGGTGTTCTCGCCCGCCGAGCAGCGGCGGTTTACTGTCTTGCGGGAGATGCTGTGGCGGTTGCACACCCGGCAAGCGCAAGGAGCTGGGCGCGGCAGTGCCGCCGGGAGTTCGAGCGACGCGAGATGACTGGAACGGCGACTGCGATCGACGGCCAATTCTGGGGGGGCGGGGGGGCACTACATGATACCCATATTCTGATTTGACTTGGGTGCTTTCGCAAGGAATAGCAAATCAATGCGGGAAGTTGCTGGTGGGCGTTTGCGATCCGGACTACGTGCGTGCGTAGTTTGGATCCCTTCCAAGCCGGTTGTCTTTGCATTGTGGCATTCCTTGTCCGAGTCTCTTTGGGTTTATGTGGGCGTCGTCGTATGTGCTAGGTCGACCTCTCGATGTCGAATTTGGTGTCGGTTTGCCTCAGTTTGGTCCGGGCCTCGCGTGAATCGTCTCCGGGATCAAGGACTCCCCTAGCCGGCCATGCTCTCCGGGACTCCCGTGCTGTCTGCCTCTACGGATTCTATCCATCGCCTCATCTGCTCCTCCAGGACTTTCGTGCTCTCAGCTAGTCTCTCCTCATGTACTCTCCTATTGTCAAATTTTCCTTTAGTCTTACTACCGGTGCTTCCAAGGCCATTCGTAGAGAAAAAGGACAAATTGCTAACTCGAGGGGGATCCCTTTCCCCGCATTGAAACAGTTCCGCAGCTACACGAACCCCCTCTCCAATGCCGACGCCTCTTCCTCCCTCAACCCGCCCTCCATCCCGCCGCCGCCGCCGCCCCCTCCGCCGCTGAACATCCCGCCCTCGCGCGCCCGCCTGCAGCTCGCGGCCCGCCTGGCCATGAACAAGCGCAACGCCGAGGAGGCGGCCGCCGCTGCCGGCGGTGCCGGTTCCTCGTCGTCGTCGTCGGGCGACAACGATGGCGGCAACGGCATGATGAGCAGCGGCCTGCAGGCCGCGGCGCCCATCTCGGAGCAGCGCCTGCGGAACCCCTTTGCCGACCACGACGACGACGAAGACGATCTCGATGATGACGAGGACGAGGACGATGTGGACGACGACATGCGCGACGAGGACGGCAGCGACGACGGCAACGAGCTGGGCGACCGGGGGCCCGGGTCCTGGCGCGCCAGGGGCTCGTGGTGGAGGGGCGTCGTGAGGAGTCGCAGGGCGGCGGCGGCGGCTGGTGGCGGCGGCGGCGGCCATAGTGGTGGCGGTGGCAGTGCCGCGGCCGAGGACGAGATCCGGCGGAGGGAGCGGTTCGGGGACGGGAGGGACAGCGACGAGAGCAGCGGGGACGAGGTGGGCGTCGACGAGGACGAGGAGTTTGGCGACTTTGCTATGCCCGAGGTCGTGACCGCGGGGCCTGGGGGGGGTTCGACGACGGCGGGGGCCGGGTTCGGGAGCGCTGGCGGGGAGGTGGTCGGAGGGGGAGGGCATGGCTCCGGGACGGTGCTGGTCAAGCCCCTTGCGCTGCACCCGCCTTCGTCGTCCGCGGCCGCCGGCGGCAGCAAGTTCCCCAGTCTCTGGCCGTTTGAGAGCCTTGGGTTCGGCGGCTCTTTGTCGTCGAAGAAGGACGACGAGGGGGAGAAGGCTGCTGGTGCCGGCGAGCAGGTGAGCAAAGACGCCGCCGGGGACAAGGAGAAGAAGGCGGAGAAAGAGGAGGAGGAGCCGCTCGAGGTGCTGTCCGAGGACGGGCAGCGCGTCAGCCGCGCCGTCGAGGCCAAGAGGCGGACCAGCATCGAGGACCCGGACGAGGACGAGGAGCAGGTTGTCGTCTGAAAGGAGAGGGTCACTCACTTGTCACTGCTGATGGCGAGTTTCTTTTTATTTTTTTTGGTTTATGATGATTGGGAAACTTGGGAACATAAAGTCATGTGAAGCATTTTTGAATATCATGAAAGAAAGAGACGGACGGACGGAGGGGGGGGG